ATAATGATCCAGCGTACTGTTGGTGAGCACCGTGTCGGTGCCAGGCTGAGAGTGTTGTGGATGATGCTGGGAACATTTCAGCACCTGTCTTTTGGGGACACATTTCTGTGCCATCCCTTGGAATGCCTACCCATATCCATCCCGGGCAGTGTGTACATGTAGCCTCCGCAGAGGCCACTGAGGTTCCAGGCAGGGCACCATATAGTCATGCTAGATTGCTTAGTGTACGTCACCGACACTCACTCCTAAAACAGCCCTAGTGAAATGCAGATTAAAACTACACAGAGACTCCATCTCACCCTAGTCAGAAGGCAGTGATCAAGAAGACAAGTTACAGAGATGTGGGCGAGAGTGTGGGGAAAAAGGTTCACTCAGCTGTGGCTGGTGGGACTGCAGATTGGTGCCACCACTCTGGAAAGCAGGATGGCGATTCCTCAGAAAACTTAGAATGGAACCACCATGTGACCCAGCTATCCCACCCCTTGGCATACACCCAAAGGACTTAAAATCAGCACACTACAGTGATACGGCCACATCAGTGTTATAGCAGCTCAATTCACAACAGCTAAGCTAGGGAACCCACCTAGATGCCCTTCAACAGATGAATGGATAAAGAAACTGTGGTACATATACACAGTGGAATATTACTCAGCCATAAAGAAGAACGAAATGATGACATTTGCCAGTAAATGGGTGGATCTGGAGGCGATCATGCCAAGTGAAACAAGCCAGTCCCAAAGAACTAAAGTCCAGATGATCTCTCTCATATGCAGATGCCGATTCACAGTAGGGGGTGGGGAGGGTGGAGGTTCACTGGATTAGAGGTGGGGATTGGGGGGGAAGGGAAAGGGTTGGGAATAAGAAAGACGGGGGAATGAATGGTCATCACTTTCCCACGTTCACATATGAACACTCAGCCAGGGACACCCCACAGCAGGCCAACCACAGGACTGGGAAGTTACACCCCGTGTACGTGTGACAGGTCAGAATGCACGCTACTGTCATGGAGCGCTAAAAAGAACAAATAAAACCGAGCTCTTGCTATTTTACGTTCTCCCACGGTTTCTTTGGCATGTCTGCATCCTTCTTCTTGCTGGAACACATCTTCTGGCGTCTATTTTAGGAAGTATCCGAGGATCTCAAAATGTTTGGCTTCTGCGTGCCTGGAGATGTCTTTATTTTGTCCTCCCGGTGATTGATAGCTTTATAATGGGCTGAGAGTGTAATTATAGGTTCCGACTTTGAAGATCCCTCTCTATTATCATCTTCATCTCTTGAGAGGCTCTGTCAGTCTCGGCATTCACGAGTTTCTTGTTAAAGAGAAATGCCTTTATTGCCTCTTAGAAACCCATTTCTTCATTCTGTCTATTCTCTCTTCCGAGGGCTCCTAATTTAATGACGTTTGCAATTTCACTACCTTCTACAGCCTGTGACTTTTTTTTTTTCTTTTTTTGGTACTGGGGACTGAACCCAGGGGCACTTGACCACTGAGGCCATATCCCAGCCCTTTTTAATATTTTATTTAGTGACAGTTGCTTGGGGCCTCACCAAGATACTGAGGCTGGCCTCGAACTTGCGAGCCTCCTGCCTCAGCCTCCTGAGCTACTGGGATGACAGGCGTGCACCACTGTATGAAGTTTGTAACTTTTATTTCGTGCTTTCTCTTTCTCTGTACTTTGGTGCCGTGTTCTGGCATAATTCCTCAATGAGAATGTTCAGATTCCTGATTTGATCTTCAGCTGTATTTATTCTACATTCCAACCTGCCTACTGAGTTTTTTTCCCCCCTAAGGAAGAAATCAAGTTTTTAATATTCTTATTTTCTTTATGAAGGCACTATCCTCCCTCGTACGGCTCTCTGAATCACTAATTATTATCCAAATTCCTGTTTTGTTTTTTCTATTAGATCTGATTCCTTTTGTGTGTTGCTGATTGGCTGATTGATTTTGGGGGACACTCTTTCTAGTGTTACTTTGTAGAGGACATCATAGAAAGACTTTCTAATTACATATGCTGAGATTGATTGATTGATTGATGCCAGGGATTGAACACAGGGGTACTTAACCACGGAGCCCCGTCCCCAGCCCTTTTAACTTTTTATTTAGAGACAGGGTCTCACTGAGTTGTTTAGGGCCTTGCTAAGTGGCTGAGGCTGGCCTCCAACTTGAGATCCTCCTGCCTCAGCCTCCCGAGCTGCTGGGATGACAGGCCTCTGCCACCGCACCCGGCCACATGCTTAGATTCTTAAATCATTTCACAGACTCAGACAGATCTGAACAGTGAGCAGAACTGATGGCTAACACACACACACACTAATGAGAGGGGTTCACTTCAGTTGCTTCTAGGGAAAATCGTGACAGCCTTCTAACCCCGATACGACTCTTCCTTCTACCCTCTTTCTCCACATTGTGCGTTTTCCCCTGGGCTCCAATGGTAACTCAGCGAACTCTCCTTTGAGGGTCCCTGTGGTGGGCATTGGAGGTAGTTGCTGGGTCCCTTCTGGTAGGTCCCTTGGGAGGCAACACTAGGTGGAGGTGTCCTCCTGGGTGAGGGCAAAGGACAAGGAAGAGGAGAAAATAGAGATGTGTGAGAACCCCTTAAGTATGTCAAGGGTTCAGCCAACAAGATAAGATCGCTTGCCCAACCCAGGGTGCCCAGGTGAAGGAGCAGGTGAGCACAGCACCTGCTGTGTAGACAGTGGCCCCTGTGGACGGTGTTGAGTGTTCACGGCTGACCTCACTTAGCCACGGGGAACTGAGTATGTTGGGCTGGCCCACAGATTTTTTGTAGAATGTGCCAAACCTCCGAGCCCAGTCCCCCTCCTGCAGGATGGGTCTGAGGATCTCATTCATTGGATTCCCAAGTCTTCCTCATTCTTCATAAGAAAATCCTTGGGCCAGGCGCAGTGGCGCACACCTGCCATCCCTCGGGAGGCTGAGGCAGGAGGATCGCAAGTTGGAGGCCAGCCTCAGCCATTTAGCGAGGCCCTCAGCAACTCAGAGAGACCCTGGGTCTAAATAAAAAAATATAAAAAGGGCTGGGGACAGGGCTCAGGGGTTGAGCACCCCTGGGTTCAATCCCAGGTACCAAATTAAAAGAAAGAACAGCCTTTAGCCTTGTTTCCTCGTGACTGGGGCGAGTGTCGGCTAATCGTATTTATGATTCATAATGGAAGAAAACGCCGGCTCTTCCTCCAAGCCCGGCCTCGGTATCTTTGCAACTTGGAAAGTCAGTCTGTGTGTTACAAACACCTCGTCTGCCAGGCCTAGGAAGCTCACCCACACACTCCCTGGCTGGTCGGGCTTCCTTCCCTGAGCTTACAGACCTCCTTGACAAAAGGGAGGCGCTCTGAGGCCTGTCCTGCAGGTCTGCTGCCCATTTCTGTCGTCTGTCAGCCTCATAAAGCTGCAGTCTGCTGATTGCCCGGTGGTTGATTTGATTTAGACACTAATTCTTGCAACTGTAAAAAAAAAATAAATAGGAAGAAAGATAAAGGCAGGAGAGAGCATGCTCAGATCTCTCAGAAAATCCTCGCTGCCCTGTCCATCACCCCTGAAGGCTGAGAGGCACAGGCAGTGCCACAGAGCAAAGAAAGCCACCAGGAGTTTATTGATGGAGAAATAGTGAGCCCCCAACTGCTCCCCGGGTCTGGTCTGTCTCCAGACACGGGGACTCGCAGAAACCCTTCTCGGCTCCAGTGACTATTACTCTGCATCTTGAAGCCGCAGATGACATCTGTGCCAGGCAGGAGTCACGGAAAATCCAGTAGGTGAAGGGATTCCTGTGAGTGAACAGGAAGGACATCGGAGACACCAACTCTCCAGCCCCAGTTTTATGAGGCCATTGTGTAATGCCTCGGAGGAGGAAGAAGGAGCAGACACTCCAGGTGGAACCACGGGCCATGTCCCCCCTCAGGTGCACAGCCAGGTCTGTCCCCTGGCCATTCCAATGCCAGGAGAGGGCTACACTTAGATGTCACAGCTGGAAGGTCACCAAGGTAGCATCAGAGGGATGTGCCCTCAAATGTGGGCGAGGATGTGGGGAGAGGTCCACTCACCATGGCTGGTGGGACTGCAGGTTGGTGTGGGCACTCTGGAAAGCAGGATGGAAATTCCTCAGAAAACTAGGAATGGAGCCACCATGGGACCCAGCTGTAGCACTCCTCGTTTATACCCAAAGGACGTAAAATCAGCACACTACAGTGACGCAGGCACATCCATGTTTATAGCAGCTCAGTTCACAATTGCTGAGCTGTGGAACCAACCTAGGTGCCCTTCAACAGAAGGATGGATAAAGAAAATGTGGGACATAGACACAGTGGAATATTACTCAGCCATAAAAAGGAATGAAATGGTGGCATTTGCCAGTAATTGAACGGAGCTGGAGATGATCATGCTAAGTGAAATAAACCAATCAAAAAAAAAAAATACCCGAAGATTGAATGTTCTCTCTGATATGTTAGCATCCGCTAACACATAAAAAGAAGAAGATGGAAGAATAGAAGTTCAGAGGATTAGACAAAGGGGAATGAAGGGAGGGAGGCGGGGGACAGGAATAGGAAAGAAAATGGAATTAATGTGTGGGAACTTTCCTATGTGTCTATAGGAACACACCACAGTGAATCTCAAAATCGGGTACGTCCACAGGACTGGGGTCGGAATTAGAATAAGATATATTCCATGCTTGTATAAATATATCAAAATAGGTCCTACTGTCATGCATCACTAAAAAGAAAGAAAGGAGGTGGCCCCAAAGTCTTCTTTCCACAAGAAAAGCCTTGACCCAGGTGGGGTGGTGCACACCTGTCATCCCAGCGGCTCTGGAGGCTGAGGCAGGAGGATCGCAAGTTGGAGGCCAGCCTCAGCAACTCAGCGAGGCCCTGTCTCTAAATAAAATATACATAGGGCTGGGGACGGGGCTCAGGGGTTAAGCACCCCTGGGTTCAATCCTTGGTACCAACAAAACAACAACAAAAGCCCTCACCCCACTTCTCTATTTCAGCCCCGTGTCCCTGTGTCCAGATGGGCGTGGCGTTCCCAGGGCGTGTGTCCTTACCCGCTGCTGCTGAATCTGTCACCCTCCCCATTTTTGTTGAAGAGGAAACCGAGATCTGAAGAGGTCCAGCCACTGAACCCGAACACAGCTCCCCTGGGAGTGGCTCTGGGCCGGCTCCACCTGCACAGCAGGGCTTGGGCCCTGTGGGTGGCCAGCTGACACTGGCCAGGAGGTGCGTGTCCCCTTCCCCTCTGTGGGCGCAGGTCAGTGGGCAGCCTTTGGCAAGACCCTTTGAAAGCCCTGCGCTTTGTCTGCTTCCCGAGAAGCCCCAGTGCCACCTAGTGGCGCTTGTGAGAAATGCACACTGAGGACTGGCTCTGGCTTCCCAGCGGGGAGGTCACTCCCTGCAGCCCAAGGGACTGCCTGCTTAGCAAATCTTCATCCTCAAGGCACCTCCCTGCCGGGGCCTCTGCTGAACGTGGAAATGGGCTTGTGAGGTCTTCTGAGTTGCTCAGAGCCTCACTAAGTGGCTGAGGCTGGCCTCCAACTTGCGATCCTCCTGCCTCAGCCTCCTGAGCCGCTGGGATGACAGGCGTGCACCATGACACCGGAATAACCCTTCCCTCCCTTTTTTTCCAAGTCTCCTGGCCCCTGTGCATTTTTGCCACTGCCCCCTCCCTGGCCTGGTTTAGAAAGGACTCTTTGGACAAGCAGACTTTCTGAGCTGAAGACAGTGAGGGTCCCCGTGCACCTTTCTCTAAGGCAGCGAGCCGACTGGCCTTCCATTTATATAACTTAAGGAGACTCGAGAGATAATAAGGCGAATCTGTTCCAAGGTGACTTAAGGTCTCCATTTGTAGACAGGGGAGCAGCTGGCGTAATTCTGAGTTTCCGCCTGAGCAGGCACTTCCATTACCCTCAGCACCTCCATGCCTGGCTTCTGGAAAGATCTATGGGGGGAGGGGGCGCCCGGGGGAGGGGGCATTGCCCTTCCTTCCCTGGAGAGCTCAGCAGGAGCCCTCTGCTGCCTCCCTCTGTTGGAATGGGAAGGGGGATCCCCTTCAATGTCCTTTCCCGGTGACGAGCCGAATGACACTCTGGTGACACCCACTAGCTCAGGGTTAACCAGGCCGGGACTCTGCAAAATCTCCTCTGAGTGCAGAGACTATGGGGAAATGAACAGAGTGATGTTTAAACCACACTGGAGGAAGGTCCCTTCATCCCAGGTCACAGAGGAAGAGAATAGAAATGTCACTAAGGGAAGGGCCGTCTTTTAACCATCCTTATTTTCTTTTCCCATGGTACATTGATTACAAAAGCAGCCATTTTATATCCCCTCCCAGACCCCTGCCCTCAGTGATGTGACCTCACGGCAACTTGCAACACTCCATTGGTGTTTCCCACCCTTGCGTCCAGTCTTGCCTTGGGACTGACTTCAGGACAGTGATTGTGGCAGAAGCAAAGCGCTCTGGTTCTCAGGGAAGGTCCTAAATCGCCTCTGACGACTTTTTCTCTTGGATCACTAGGCCGGCCGACTGTGGGAAGAGACCACCTAGAACTCAGGTGGCCAGCACACTCGTCCAAGTGGAGACTCCAGCCACTCTAGAATGACATGACTCAGTTCAACAGAACCAGACAGCTGACGTGCGTCTGGTATGTGAGTGAGCCCCTTGAAGCCCAGCTCAGATTAGCAGAACCATCCAGCAAACTCGTGAGACATGCCTCAGGATCATTTTCTGAAGCTACTAAATTTTAGAGTGTTTTGTTACACAGCAACAGCTAACTGATACACCGTGTTAGCTTTCCATTGCTGAGACCCAAATACCAGGCACCAACAATTTGGAGGAGGGAAGGTTCATTTCGATTCAGAATTTTACAGGTTTCCATCTGTGGTGGGCGGACTCCATTGCTTTGGGCCCAAGGTGAGGCAGAGTTTCCTGGCAGAGGAGCCCGGTAGAAGAAGGCTGCTCAGCTCATGGCGGCCAGGAAGCAGAGAGAAAAAGAGGAGGGGACAAGGGTCAAGGGTATGTCCCTAATGACTTGCTTCCTCCAACCATGCCCTCCCTGCCTGCCTACAGTTTCCCACCTTGTCCCATAGGAACCCCATGCAAGTGATTAATCTGTCAAGTGGATTAATCCACTGATAAGCCATCTTGATCCAACGACTCCCCAAACCCCACCTCTGGATGTTGCTGCACTGGGATCCAGGTCTTCAGCACGCCAGCTCTTGGTGGACATCGTCCATCCAAACCGGAACGTAACCTGCTAACTTCACTCTTCTGCTCTCGGACTTGCTCAAGGTCAAGGTCATCCAGCGGGGTGGTTGTGTCTCCACGGTTCTCTCCCATCCTCCATCTTCTGGCGCTCAGCACTAGGAAAGCAACTTCCTGAGAAATGTGCGCCAGGTCACCTTGTGTCCTCCCGTATCTGAAAACAGATTCATTTTACCTTTCAAACGTTGACTGTTCCAGATGCTAGTTTGGAAATTATTGTCCCTCAGGAGTTTGGAAGCAGTGCTCAGTTTTCTTCTAGCGCCCAGAGTTACGGATGAGGCACCTGAGGCCAAGCTGACTCTTGCACCTACCGATTTGGTAAGTTTATAGGATGTTTCCACTCTTATATTTTGAATTGTTTTCTTTGGTACCGGGAATTGAACACAGGGCGCTTGACCACTGAGCCGCATCCCCAGCTCCCCCTTTATTTCTGTATTTTTATTTAAAGATGAGATCTTGCTGAGTTGCTTAGGGCCTCGCTAAATTGCTGAGGCTGGCCTCAAATCCACGATCCTCCTGCCTCAGCCTCCTGAGCCACTGGGATTACAGGTGTGTATCACTGCGTGTGGCTTAATTTTCTGCCTTTTTACCTTATTCCATATTTTGAGAAAATTTTTTCTATGTAGACCTAGACATATGCACAAACACGTAGATATAAATACAAATATATTACGTATATATTGCCTTTTCTATTTGTATGAAGAATGTCATTGGGATTTTAATAGGAACGGCATTAAGTCTGTATAACGCTTTTGGTAGTATGGTCATTACAACAATTTTTATACACATGTAAATAAAATTTGACAGCACTTCAAAATTAATGGACATTTTTATGGTTTTCTTCTTTTTTTGTATCTTCTTATGCTTGGCTTATTTATTCAATATATTCTTTTCTAAAAGATCCAAGAAATAATTTATCGAATTCACAATTTATACTTATTTTATTTTTGGCACTGGGGATCTATCCCAGGGGCACTTTGCCAGTAACCCCATACCTCACCCTTTTCATTTTTTATTCTGTGGCAGGGTCTGAGTTGCTGAGGGTCTCGCTACATGGCTGAGGCTGGCCTCAATGTTGCAGTCCTCCTGTCTTGGCCTCCTGGGTCATTGGGATTACAGATGTGTGCCACTGCGCTCAACACAACTCACATTTTTAAAATCATTTTTAGTTACTGACGGACCTTTATTTATGTATTAATTTATACGCGGTGCTGAGAATCGAACCCAGTGCCTCACCCATGCTAGGCAAGCGCTCTACCACCGAGCCCCAGCCTCAGTCCCACAATTCACATTTTTAAGCAGTACAATTCGGGGACTTTTAATATATTCACTGGGGCTGTAGTTCAGTGGCAGAGCGTTTGACTAGCACGTGTGAGGCACTGGATTCTACTCTCAGCACCACATAAAAAATAGATAAAATAAAGGCATGCTGTCCATCTACTGTTACATAAAAAATATTTTTTAAAAATTCAGGTTTTGTCTCAGTGAGCTGAATCAATTTTAAAACATCTTTAATACACACCTTCCAATCCTTGCCACTCCACCCCCGTCCCCTCAGGTCCCTGCCAGCCCAAGACAGTGTTAGTCTACTTCTGTGAAATCTCCTCATGGCTCCGCTGTGTCTGCCTTCAGAAAACCAAGACCATCTAAGGGATAAGAAGGGACTAACAGGCCACCCTGTCCCAAGAGACCTCTACACAATAAAAAAATAAATAAGTGTTGATAAGAAAAGGAGGGTGTTATAGTTCGTATATTAAATGTCCCCAGGGCCTTAGGTGGGAAAGGCGTGGCCTCTGGTCTGGGGTGCCCTTGGGAGGTGCTGACCTTGGGAGGTGGGGCCTAGTGGAAGGTCTTTGGCGCATGTCCCTTGGAATCTAAGCCCCCTCCCTCTTTATATCTGGCTACTCTGCCGTGAATAGGTTGTCCACGCCACATGCTTCTGCCATCGTGTACTGCTATGGCACAAGCCCAAAAATGACCATGCCAAGCACTCTTGAATTAAAACATCTCCATCTATGAGCCAAAATAAACCTTTCACCCTTTTAAGTTATTTGTCTCAGGGGTTTTGTTACAGTCAGGTAAAGCTGACTAACACAGATGGAAGAAGATACGTGTGCAACTACCACCAAAAGAAATTATATCTGACCCCAGTAATATTTGGGAAAAAAAGTAAATTTAAGGACTAAAGAGTCACACAGGACAAAGAAGCATTTAAATTTTTTTTTTTTTAGTTGTAGATGGACACAATACCTTTATTTTCTTTATTTAATATTTTTATGTGATACTGAGGATGGAACCCAGGGCCCCACACAGGTTAGCAAGGGCTCCACCTCTGAGCCCCAGCCCCAGCCCTGATTTTCTTTTCTTTATGTTTGTATCCACCACATTTTCTTTATCCACTCATCTGCTGAGGGGCACCGAGGTTGGTTCCATAGCTTAGCTTTTGTGAACTGAGCTGCTGTAGCAATCAATGTGGCTGTGTCCCTGTCGTGTGCTGATTTAAGTCCTTTGGGTATAAACCGAGGAGTGGGACAGCTGGGTCCCATGGTGGTTCCATTCCTAGTTTTCTGAGGCCTCTCCATCCTGCTCTCCACAATGGTGACATCAATTTGTAGTCCCACCAGCCATGCCTGAGTGTGCCTTTTCCCCACACCCTCACCAACATTTGTTGTTGCCTATATTCTTGATGATTGCCTTTCTGACTAGAGTGAGTAGTTCTGATTTGAGAGTTTTGATTCTCTAATTGATAGAGATGTTGAAAAATTTTTAAATATATTTGTTAATCGATTGTCCTTCTGAGAAGTGCCTGTTCAGTTCCTTAGCCCATTTATACATTGGATTTTTTTTTTTTGGTATTAAGTTTCTTGAGTTCTTTATATATCCTAGAGATTATTGCTTCATCGGAGGTGCATGTGGTAAAGATTTTCTCCCAGTCTGTAGGCTCTCTCCTCACATGACTGACTGTTTCTTTTGCTGAGAAGAAGCTTTTTAATTTGAATCCATCCCATTTATTGAATCTTGATTTTACCACTTGCACTTTAGGAGTCTTGTAAAGGAAGTTAGTTCCTAAGCTGACGTGGCGAAGATCTGGCCTACTTTTTCTTCTATTAGGCACAGGGTCTCTGTTCTTGTGCCTGTTTTTGATCCACTTTGAGTTGAGTTTCGTGCAGAGTGAGAGTCGGGGATTTAATTTCATTTTGCTACATATGGACTTGCAGTTTTCCCAGTACCATTTGTTGAACAGGCTATCTTTTCTCCAACGAATGTTTTTGGCACCTTTATCTAGTATGAGATAACTGTGTTTATATGGGTTTTTCCTCTGTACCTTCTATTCTGTACCGTTGGTCTATGTGTCTCTTTTGGTGCTAATACCATGCCGTTTTTGTTACTATGGCTCTGTGGTATAGTTTAAGGTCTGATATTGTGATGCCACCTACTTCACTCTTCTTGCTGAGGATTGCTTTGTCTATTCTGGGTCTGTTATTTCTCCAAATGAATTTCCTGATTGCCTTTTCTATTTCTATGAAGAATGTCATTGGGATTTTAATAGGAATTGCATTAAATCTGTATGATGCTTTTGGTAGTGTGACTATTTTGACAATATTCTGCCTATCTAAGAGCATGGGAGATCTTTCCATCTTCTAAGGTCTTCTTCCATTTCTCTTTTTAGTGTTCTGTAGTTTTGATTGTAGAGGTTTTTCACCTCTTTTGTTAGGTTGATTCCCAAGTATTTTATTTTTTTGAGGCTATTGTGAATGGGGTAGTTTTCCTGATTTCCCTTGCAGTGAATTCACTGATGTTTAAGAATGTGTTTGATTTATGGGTGTTGATTTTATATCCTGCTACTTTGCTGAATTCATTCGATAGTTCTAGACATTTTCTGGTGGAATTTGGGGGATCTTCTAAATATAGAATCAAATAGTGATAGCTTGAGTTCTTCTTTTCCTGTTCCTATCCCTTTAATGTCTTCATCTGTCTGATTGCTCTGTCCAGAGTTTCAGGACTCTGCTACAGAGAATTGTTGGAAGAGGCATCCTTTCTTGTTCCAGTTTTTAGGGGTAATGGTTTCAATTTTTCTCCATTTAGAATGACATTGGCCTTGGGCTTAGCCAATATAGCTTTTTTTTTTTAATATTTTCTTTTTTAGTTGAAGTTGGGCACAATACCTTCATTGTATTTATTTTTATGTGGTGCTGAGGATTGAACCCAGGGCCTCACACATGCAAGGCGAGTGCTCTACCGCTGAGCTAAAACCCTAGCCCCGCCTATGTAGCTTTTGCTGTGTTGAGGTATGTTCTTACTATTCCTAGTTTTTCTAGTGTTTTGAAGATGAGGGGTGCTTTATTTTGTCAAATGCTTTCTCTGCATCTATTGAGATAATCATAAGATTCTTGTCTTTAAATCTATTGATGTGATGAATTACGTTTATTGATTTTCCTAGGTTGAACCAGCCCTGCATCACTGGGATATGAACCCCACTGGATGATAGGGCACTATCTTTTAGATATGTTTTTGTATGTGATTTGCCAGAATTTTATTGAGAATTTTTGCATCTGTGTTCATCAGGAATAGTGGTCCGAGTTTTTTTTTTCCTTGATGTGTCTTTGTCTGGTTTTGATGAGATGATGATAGTTTGATTTGTCTTTGCTACTATTTTTTAAAAATATTTTTCTAGTTGTAGATGGACACAATACCTTTACTGGTTGATTTTTATGTGGTGCTGAGGATTGACACACCTGCGAGGCGATCGCTGTATCACTGGGCCACAACCCCAGCCCTGGGTCTGCTACTCTTATGTGTTGCTTCAGAACCGAGCATGTGTTATTTTTGCAATGTGAATCTTTATTTTATAAAAGGAAACAATAATAAAGTGGGAAAAATTCTCTGAAAAAGATAATTGAGAACCCTGTGGTTAAAAAAAAAAAAAAATGATCCAGAGACCAGACACCTATAATCCACAATAAGATAAAGGACCCGGCGCTCTCTGGCCTCCCCCCAAACAGTGGGCGGGACTCTTGGTCAGGCACAGGTGGTCCTAGAGTCTCCAGACTTCTTTGGGACATGCAGAGTTTGGAAGTCCAGTCTTTCCTACAGAGGGCTTTATGCAAACTTCCCTAAATGCAATAGAGCCATCCGCCGTCCCCTAGACTCTGCTAACCAGGTGGAGAGTATTAGTTGGGGGATCTGCATAGAGGCCACCTCTGGGCGGCAGCACCCCAACCAGGCTGTCCCGCGAGGGGCTTCAAACCTCCAGACTGCAGGGGCATGAAGGCTGAGACCAGCGCGTTCCTCACAGGCTGCCCAGGTTGACGGGCGGCCTAGTCCGCATGCGCAGGGCAATGCGGGGCTGGGCGGGGAGGGCCTGGGCGGCCCAGGGGGCGGGGCGAAGGCGGCCCAGGGGGCGGGGCGAAGGCGGCCCAGGGGGCGGGGCGAGGGCGGGGTGAACGGCCGCCCCCAGGCCCGTGGCCAGTGCGGGGCGTGTGGAGTTTGGGCCGCGTTCGCCGCTCGGCCGCAGTTCGGGTGCCGCCGCCACCCTCGTCCAGGTTCCTAAGAAGACCCGGCCCCGTCCGGCCGGAGTGAGAGCGAGGCCCTGGAGCAGCCACCGTCCCCACCACCGCCGACACTGGCGACGGCGGCGCAGACATCGCCGAGGATGGGGAAAATGAGTGTCCCCAACCGTCGCCTAGCCAGCGTCCGCGGTGTGCCCGTGTCATCGCCTCCCGGGCGCCGCGCCCGCCTGTCGTCTCCCGGGACCAGCCAGCAGCCCCCTGAGGCCCGGGAGGAGATGCGGCGCCGCGTCAAGAACCTCATCGAGGGGAGCCGAGTGATGATCTTCAGCAAGACCTACTGCCCGCACAGCTCCCGGGTAGGCGGCCGGCCGAGGGAGGGCCGCGGGGAGACGGAGGGACGCAGGGGGCGGGGCCTAAGGGGGCGGGGCCTCGGGAGGGAGGGCCACCGGGCCTGGGCATTGGGCGGAGCTTGGGGTTGGGGGCGGGGCCTCGGGAGCTTGGAGCCAAGCCGGGCTGAGTCCTGGGACCTGGAACTGGGACTGCTGCCTGCTGATCACCCGCTTGTCCTACCTCTGCTGGCTTTGAATTTAATGTGTATCAAGACAGGAAAAAAAAATAATTTTTAAATAAAGTTTTGCCTTGATAAAAATGGTGGTGAAAACCGAGGGAAGGACTTCGGAGTCCGCAGAGCAGAATTCAGATCCCACTGATAAACTGGGTGACCTTGACCCTGTTCCAGAGCTGGGCAGAAGCTGCCTTTCCACATCTTGTATAAGGAAGGTAAAGGAAGGTTGTGAAGAGGATTAAAAAGTCAGGGGTAACTTTAAACTCTTCTGCACGTGAACTTTGGGGCTGGGTAGGCGCTCAGCGTTATTTCTAGGGTTAACTCTACTGAGTGTTAAGGGTAACCCACTTAGAAATGGGCCTTTGGAAGATAACCCACCTGTAAAGTAGGGACTCTGAACATTTTGAAATTTATTTCACATTAGCAGAAAGATGAAATAATGAAAGTTGGAAGATAATATGCAAAGCCCTGAACTCTTGGGTCAGGCTCATGAAATGATAAGCTATTATTCAAATTCGAGGTTACATTGAGGTATATCTATAGTTTCTTAGAACCTGTATTCATGCATATCAATTTTAAAGAGTAATAAAATGATTTGAGTGGCTTGGAAGCCGCCCCACCCCAAGGTTAACCACCTACTACTCTTCTTTACCGTTTCCTCTGCATATATATGTCATTAAACAATATTTTGTTTCTTTTGCCCTGTTTGGGGACTTCAAGCAGAATCACGCATGGATTCTTTTGCAGTTTTTTCCTTCAATGTGTGTTTTCAAGATTCATACATGTTACTACCTGTCCTTGCGGCTCATTAATTTTTATTACTGTGCCATTCCATAGGGTGAATCAGACCATAGGATTAGATTATGCTGTTTCTGGTATTTTGTTCTTAAAAACAATATGTATGCCTATTCTTGGACATACCTCCCATGCACACATATAAGACTGAATTCTAGGGTATCTTGAAGCTGAATTGGTGGGCCATAGAGGATGCATGAAATCACACACATTACTAAGGTGATGCACAATTGCTCCTCCAAGTGGTTATACCGGTTTGCCCTCCTGGTAGTATATAATAGTTTCTTTCAGTCTGAAGCTTTGCTAACTGCTGAGATTTTAAATTTTTGCTATTCCTGCAGTTATGAAGTGGCTTGAATTTTACATTTCCTTGATGAAATTTACATGTTTATGGTTCATTTGAATTTCTTCTTCTAGGAAACGGATTGGGTCTTTTGCTTATTTTTCTACTGAGTTGTTTTGTTTTGCAGATTTGTAGACCTTCATTATATGTTTTGCATACTAACCCTTTGGGTATGTATATGTGTATATGTACATACATATATGACTTTTTATTTTTCTTTCTATGGGATATTTTGGACCAGTGAAGTTTGCAAGTTGAATGTAGCTGAACCTATCATTTTTTTTCCCTTTATAGTTTGTTCTTTTTGGGTCTTTATTTTGTTTTTGTTTTTGGCACCAGGGATTGAACCCAGGGGTGCTTTTCCCACTGAGCCACATCCCCAGCCCTTTTTATGTTTTATTTTGAAACAAGGTCTTGATAAGGTGTTTAGGACCTCACTAAGTTGCTGAGGCTGGCTTTGAACTGGAGATCCTCCTGCCTCAGCCTCCCCAATAACTGAGATTACAGGAATGTGCCACTGCACCTGGCTGAAAATTCTCTGATTTTTGAAACATCATTCCTGCGTTAATTTTAATTCATGTTTCTTCACTCTCGATTTCACACACTTTAAAATTCTCTTCTTCTCTTGGTTAGCTTATAAAACACATTGTGGTAAAACACATGCCACATAAAATTTATAATTGAAACCATTTTTAGGAGTAGAAGTCAGTGACATTAAGAACATTTGATTGCTGGGTGCAGTGGCACACACCAGTAATCCCAGCAGCTTGGGAGGCTGAGGCAGGAGAATGGCAAGTTGGAGGCCAGGCTTCGAAACTCAGCGAGGCCACAAGTAACTCAGCAAGACCCTGTGTCTAAATAAGATATAAGCACCCATGGGTACAATCCCTGGGACAAAATTAGAAAACAAAATTCACAGTGTTGTACAATGATCACCCTCCATATCCACAAATTTTCAACTTTTTCAAATGAAATTCTATACCCATTGAATGTTAACTCCCATTCCTCTTCCCCAGCCATTGGTAACCATCCTTCTACTTCCTGTGTGTGAATTTGACTACTTTGATTACCTCATCCACAAATCATGCAGCGTTTGTATCTTGTGTCTGGCTTATTTCCCTTAGCGTCATATCTTCCAGATCCATCCATGTTGTAGCGTCTGTCAGAAGACAGGCCCAGTAAAACTCCACATTATGTACAACCACAAAAATGGGATCCTGATTCGGATAGGTCATGCTCCCTTACTGTATTTATATATAAAAAGAACAAGTAAAAAATTTAAAAAAGAATTTCTTTCCCTTTTTAAGACTGAACAGTATTCCATTGTAAAAAAAGAAGAAAGAAAAATAGAGCACACTTTGTTTGTCCATTCAAGCATTAGTGGACAACCTGAGTGGCCTCCACCTTGACTGTCGTCGATAATCTGACAGTGAACGTAAGCATGTAGGTGTTTGTTTGAGTCCCTACTTTTAGTTCTTTTAGGTACCTTCCTAGAAATGGAATTGCTGACTTATAAGGTCTTCGTGTTTTCAGTGTTTTGTAGAACACTGTTTTACATTTCTACCAACAGTGCACGGGGTTCCGATTTTGCCACATCTTCTTTAACACTTGTTAGTTTGTGTGTGTGTGTGGTTTTCTTAAAGCAATAGCTATCATGATAGATGAGGTGGTATGTCATCGTGGTCTGATTTGCATTTCCATAAAGATCAGTGAGGTTGAATAGCATGTGCTTATTTCCCATTGGTGTATTTTCTTTGGAGAAATATCTATTCAAGTGCTTTGTTCAAGTGCTCCGTTTTAAGTTGTGTTTAAAGTTTTTTGTTACTAAGCTTTAGAAGTTCTCTGTATCATATAGGGTGTGATCCTTCAGGTATGTCATTGTAAATGATCTGTGAAGCTGCTTGGCTGCCATTTTTTTACTTAATTGATAGTGTCCTTTGCTGCACCAAACCTTTTGTGTTTTGTGAGATCAAATTTGTCTGTTTTCTCTTCTGTTCCTTGTGCCTTTGATGTTATATCCAAATCCAATATCTTTGCCCTGTGTCTTTTTTTATTTTTCATTATTTATTTATTTATTTTTTGTCCAGGGACTGAACCCAGGGGTGCTTAACCACTGAGCCACATCCCTAGCCCCCTTTAAAAAGAAATTTTCCCTTTTAATATTTTCTTGATTGTCAGTGGACCTTTATCTTTTTTATTTATATGTGATGCTGAGAATCAAACCCAAGGCCTCACACGTGCTAGGCAAGTGCTCTACCACTGAGCCACAACCCCAGCCCTTTTTATTTTCTATTTTGAGACAGGGTCTTGCTAAGTTGCTGAGGCTGGCTTTGAACTCACTATCTTCCTGCCTCAGCCTGCTCAGCCACTGGGATTACAGGCCTGTGCCACTTTGACCAGCTACTGACTTCTTCTAATAGTTTTCTGGTTTTTAGCTCCTACATTTAGGTCTCTGATCCATTTTGAGTTCGTTTCTGTACTTGGTTTTAGGTCAGGGTTCAGTTCCATTCTTTTGCTTGTGGATAGCCATTTCCTTGGTACCAGTTGTTGGAGACCGTACTTTCTCTTTTGGACGGTCTTGGCACCCTTGTCAAAAATCAAGACTCTATTCCAGAACTCTCCATTCCCTTCTCTTGCTCTGTGGGTCTGTATTCAGGTCAGTCTCCTTATGTTTGATCACTGTAGGTTTGTGGTAAGTTTTGAAATCAAGAAGCAAGAGATGTCCAGCTTTCAAGATTTCATTTTTTGTGGGGCGGGGGTGTGCTATATAGGACTCCCTGAGGTTCCATCTGAATTTTAGGAAAGATTTCAATTTTTGAAAAAAGAAACATCATTGAGATTTTTGGTAGGGATTGCATGGAGTCTGTAGCTTGCTTGGTGTATTATTGACAACAACTTAAAGTCTTCTAATCCTTGAAACACAAGATGTCTTCCTATTTATTGGTATCTTTTATCTCTTTCAGCAGTAGTTTGTAGTTTTTAGTGTATAAGTCTTTACCTTCCTTGGTTAAGTGTATTCCTAAGCAGTTTAATTCTTTTCATGCCGTTGTTAATGGAATTCTTAATTTCCTGGTTGACTCATCCATCATTAGTATATGGAAAATAACTAGTTGTCATGACTTTGTGCCCTGCAACTTTGCTGATTTTGTACATCCTAACAATGTCGATGTGTATGTGTCTTTGAAATCTTCAAGTTTTGAACATATAAGATTATGCTGCTTGTGAACAGAGATAATTTTACTTCTTTTCCAATTGGGACAAGAATTTGTTCGATTCATTTTTCTTGCCTTATTGCTGTAGCTAGGACTTTCAATGCTATGTTGAAATAGAGGGGCGAAAGCAGGCTTCCTTTCTGATCTTAAAGGAAACATTATCAATATTATGCTATCATGTGTGACGCTACTTGTGGGAAGAGCTCTGGAGTTCTTTGCTCTCATGGTCTGTATCTCCACTGGGCCAAAACTCTGAGGTCTTGTTTAAGAACTAGGAGGAGCATCTGGACACAGTGGCACACACCTGTCATCCTAGTGGCTCAGGAGGCTGAGGCAGGAGGATCGAGAGTTCAAAGCCAGCCTCAGCAACAGGCAAGGCCCTAAGCAACTCAGTGAGACCCTGTCTCTAAATGAAATACAAATAGGGCTGGGGACGGGGCTCAGTGGTTGAGTGCTCCTGAGTTCGATGCCTGGTATCTGCCCCACCACTACCCCAAAAGGATCCTGGGAGTGGGGACGGGGACTGATGAGCAGGACTCTATAAGGGGATTTCTTTTGGGCTTGCCTTTCCCAGCTGGGGACTTTACCTTACAGGTAAACTGTGATGGTGGGGATCATGGTCCCAGTATTTCCCTTCTGCCACTGCTGGGGTATGTGGCTTTTGGTCTCAGTGGGGCCGATGGAGCACTGAGCCTTAGTGACTCAGAGTGAGAGGTGGGCAGGGGGTGAGAGGTGCTGGTGGCCTGCTATTCTGAGAGATATTGGGAACTTGTTTTCTAGGCCACACTTCAACTGGGGTTCCCACCAGGCTGACCTCGGGCAGGGGAGGGAGGGAGGAGGAGGATGTACAGCTCAGGGGCGGACTCTCCCTGCTGTTACTGAGAGTTAATTGATTTCCTTGCATAAATGTTTCTTCATTTGCTGAAAGCTCTTAGGAAATTTCCAGAGCCTGTGAAAATGATTTTCGCAGTTGCACATGTGTTCTCAGTAGGCCAAGGGCTCTGGGCTCAGTTCAGATGGAAATCACCAGCAGGCAGATACAGCTCTCTTACCATTAGCAGCAGCTCTCCCCGTTCTCTTGTAGCAGCTCCAACTAACAGCTCCTCCTGCGGCCCGAGCTAGCAGCTCACCCGGCCGCCTTACCTGCAGCTCCCAGAAGCTCGCCTTCTCATAGTCACCCTCTGTCACCAGTTCTCACTTCTGGCCACTTTGAGTGCCAGCAGCCTTTAGTGTTAACAGCTCTTCCTGGATCTGGCTCAGCCTACTCTGCTCCAGGTGGACATCATGAATGGGCAAAACAAAACCCCCTGGAAGGGTTTGTTGGGACTTAGGGGAAGCAGTACAGACTGAGCTCGTGGAGGGTGGGAGGAGGGCTGTGTGTATGGACAGAAAGGACAAGGTTGGGCATGTACACAGTGTCCTGCCTGCTGCTTTTTTGCTTGGTCATGTGTAGGGGACAGGCTCCTCATGAACCAGAGTGAGGCCATCTGAAGCAGCCTCAGAGGGGCGCCGTCATCCCACCAGGCTGACCACAGTGTGTGCAGGGCCTCTAAGCTGCATATTCTTTAGCAGCAGCCAGGAAGCATGTGCAGAGGCCAAGCTGTCAGGATAGCGGCTTAGCTGGGCGGCCCATGAGGTGGCCACTGGGCAGTGTGCTCCCTGGTGGTGGGAGCCCCTGAACAGCCAGTGTGGGGCGGGGACACCGTGGCTATCAGCCAAAATACACTGCATGTGTCAAGAGCAGAATGGAAAAAACACCTTTGGGTTGGCAGGTTGGGCCTCTGTGTCTTCTCACACGTTTGGCCGTGGAGTGGACCTTCTGAGTGGAAGTGGGACCTCTGGGTTTTGTGTAAAGTGCTGAGAGCTGAAGGGTTTTAATGGGTTTTGTTGTTGTTGTTGGTACTGATGGTTGAACCCAGGGGCACTTAACCCCTGAGCCCCTCCCCAGCCCTATTCTGCATTTTATTTAGAGACAGGGTCTCCCTGAGTTGCTTAGGGCCTCTCTAAGTGGCTGAGGCTGGCCTCCAACTTGCAATCCTCCTGCCTCAGCCTCCCGAGCATGGATTATAGGCATGAGCCAGCACACTTGGCTGCACTAAAGGGTTTTAAGGAATGTGGCACAAAGCGGGTTTGAAGAGGTCACTTTGACTGCCATTTTGAAAACCAGAGGGGACAACGCTGGTGCAGGAAGAACTTTTGGGATATTACTGAGAAATTCTATTAGTAAATATTGATGTCTCGTACTAAGATATCGACTGTGGGAAACTAAGAAGATGAAGCAGTTCAAGATGGAGAATTCAGACTTAGTAATTACTGTAATATGGTGGGTGGGAGCGAGTTTGGGGCTGGACCATGTTGCCCAGTGACTCCTTTGCAAAGTCGTTCCAGTGCCACGTTGGCTCCAGGTCCTGATCCTGTGTGTCCAGGGGACACCCATGCTGTTGTTTTCCTGTCCCCTGTCGTAGCAGCAGTCTCTGGGGTTTCTTATTTACACCAATGATGGACCATGCCTGTTTCCCCTACTAGAGGGCCGCCACCGTGTTGTGTCCATCTCTGTGTCTCAGTGACTTAGAACAGCAAATGACCCGTCCTGGGTAGGTTGGGAAGAAGGCGAGTTGCTTTTGGAGGATGGTGCCTTTGGGACATCCTGGTGTCAGAAGAGAGATTTGAGCACTAGTTACAGATTTGGGAGTTGTTATAGTGGGGCTGTGGGGTGTCCCTAGAGCCCCCCTGGGAGGTGACACAAGAAGGTCCAGAGGAGGAGTGAGGGGGTGTGAGGCCTGAACCCCGGCAGGGAATGGCTCCCTGAGGTCCCCTGGTGGCCCCTGGAGGCAGGTGGGGTGTGATGGAGGAGGTGGCCCTGGGGCCGTGGCTTGAGATCCCTAATTGTCCCTGGAGAGTGGAGTCTCTGCTCCCTGGTCCCCATGGGAGCTGCTCCCTCCCCACACTCTTCCTCCATGACGTCCTGCCTCCCCTCGGCCAGGAGTGGAGCCACCTGTGGACTGGGACCTGGGACACCCTGAGCCCCAAGTCAACCTGTCCCCCTCTGCAGTTGTGCTGGTGAGGTCTTTTAGTCACAGCAGCAAAAAGCTGACTAAAACAGGAGTCATAAGGAGACAGATATGTCAAAAGAGGGCACGGGGAAGGTTGAGGTTATTCTGGGAACTTGTGTAGTAGCAAGGGTAAAAAATTGGTCAGGGGGCTGGGGCTGGGGCTCAGTGGCCGAGCAGTACAGCAGAGCACAGGGTTCAAGTCTCAGCACCACATACAAAAATAAGCAAATAAAATACAGGCACACTGTCTATCTACAACTAGAAAAATAAATTAAAAAACAACAGGCCCAACTCCTATTCCCAAACAACGTTGTTTTGGACATCTCTTATTCTTCTGCCATATTTCCTAACTTGTTGAAACAGGTGGATCTTTGTTACAGGTGAAAGAACTCTTTTCTTCTCTGGGAGTCGACTGTAACATCTTGGAACTTGATCAAGTTGGTAAGTAGATAGTTAGTGCACCGTGTTGTCTGCAGCGCACGCCAGCAAGATTGACTTCTTCCCCTGGGCTTGGTTCAGTTCAATTTGCTCTTGTCTCTTTGGGTGAGATGAGCCATTTTTGTGTATGTTCAACCAAGCAGAAAATGAGTCCTTATGTGACAAATCATTTGGTGTAGATTTTCTTATTATATGTTTTTCATATTTGAGGGAAGGGAGTGGGAGGAAAATATGTAAGCTGCTTACTTGGAATATTTGAGGTATTTCAAATGGATCTGCCAACTCGAGAGCAAAATAGCTGAAGCTGTAATGAATGAAAGAAATAGACTTCCTCTTCCTGGTTGTGTCACCCACGGAGGGGAGCACATGGAGCTTTTAGTTTTATACTTTAGACTCCTTGGCATCTGTGCGTTTGATTCATTGAACACTTTGCACATGGGGTGCTTTGCAGGGTTGGGGACAGTCATGATCAGAAAATACCTGATCTCTGTCTTCATGAAACTGGCTATTTCCTCCATGTCACTGTGGGAAGTGAAATATTCTTGAATCTTTTGGGGTTTTTTTTGGTACTGGGGATTAAACCCAGGGGTGCTTAACCACTGAGCCCTGTCCCCAGCTCTTTTTATATTTTATTTAGAGACAGGGTCTCCCTGAGTTGCTGAGGGCCTTGCTAAGTTGCTGAGGCTGGCCTCCAACCTGCGATCCTCCTGCCTCAGCCTCCTGAGCTGCTGGGATGACAGATGTGCACCACCCCACCCAACACACTTTTGAATCTTTAGGTTTCTCTGCAGAGTACACCACATGTGGCAATCTTAGATAGTCTTGGCCCACTTGTATTTTCAGCAATGGAGAGTCTATTTTAGTCTATGCTCGTACACATTTCCACATGTAATTATAGGAAATTTTTTTCTGAGTTGGAACAATAGAGAGAGTTCTTATAATTGTTGAATTATAAATCAAAAGCTAATTCAGGGGCTGGAGTTGTGGCCCAGTGGCATAGCACTTGCCTAGCATGTGTGAGGCTAAGCAACAAAACTGACCCGGTTCGATTCTCAGCACCATATAAAAATATATAAAGTTATTTTTAAGAAGATTTTTAAAAAGCTAATTTAGAAGGCTTTTTTTTTTTTTTTTTTTTGGTACCAGGGATTGAACTCAGGGACACTCAACTCCTGAGCCCCATCCCCAGCCATGTTTTGTATTTTATTTAGAGAGGGTCTCCCTGAGTTGCTCAGGGCCTCACTGTTGCTGAGGCTGGCCTCCAATTTGTGATCCTCCTGCCTCGGCCTCCCGAGCCACTGGCATTATAGGCATGTGCCACACTGTGCCTGGCAGAAGGCTGTATTTTATTTTATTTTTTTAGTAGTAGGTAGATACAATACCTTTATTTTATTTATTTATATTTTATGCTGTGCTTAGGATCCAACCCAGTGCTTCACACGTGCTGGGCAAGCGCTGTACCCCTGAGCCCCAGCCCCAGCCTCTATTTTTAGAGGGATCGGTAGATTGATCTTTAGGTTCCCAAGGTTTTCTCTGGAGTCGACATTTCCTGAAGTCATGAACACATGACAGATGTGTCACCTGTCCCAGGTGTGTCCCTGTGAGCACTGTAGTGCTGTGACCCTTCAGTTTGATTTACTTGGCACCATTGACACAGGGTCCGTATTGAACTTTTTATTCTCTAGATGATGGGATCCGTGTTCAAGAAATGCTGACAGAAATCACTAATCAGAAGACCGTGCCCAACATTTTTGTGAATAGAGTGCACGTGGGAGGATGTGACAGGACTTTCCAGGTAAGCCCTCCCTGCCTCTCGTCCATGTTCTGTTCTCAAAAGCATTTAAAAGAGGAGGAAGTGGCTTTTAGAAGTCTTTTTACTTGGTCATTTTGAAGTTGTAAAGTGGGAAATCCCTTGGATGGTTATCAGCTAACCCTGATGACTTTACAGGAGATGAGCTTTTCTGCCGACCTGAATTCAGGAGCAAGAAGGAGAACATTCTGAATGAGGTTACCAGGCCAGAGAGGTGTGTCCCCCTGGGGCCAGGACAGGTCTGCTCCTCCTCGTGGGGAGAGAAAGGAAGGCTGTTCCCCTGTAAAATGAGGTCAGCGCCAACAGTCTTGTCTAGGATCATTAGAATTCTTGGCAAGGCCGCTGACCCTGGGATGACTAATTTGTTCAGGGCCATTGACATGGACTTTCTCATCCGTAGGGGTGGAGAGCTTGCCTCGCATGCATGAGGCACAGGGTTCCATCCCCAGCACCACATACAAATAAATAAATTAAATAAAGGTACTGTGTGCATCTACAACTAATATACGTATGTATATTAGTCGTAGATGTTATATATGGATTATTTTTATTTCTAAAATGCATGAAATGGACAGGAGTCCTTCTGTTAGGTAGTAATCGATAAAAAATTGATATTTATGGGGCTGGGGATGTGACTCAGGGGTAGAGTGGTTGCCACACACACAATTAAAAAACAATCCTTATTTTATAATTAGTTTATTAATTAAAATTCCATTCTCTTTTGTGCATGTATGCAAATGTTAGCTACCAGTGATTGACTAAATACTGATTTGAAATCTTTTTTTTTAAAGAGAGAGAGAGAGAATTTTTTAATATTCATTTTTTTTTAGTTTTCGGTGGACACAACATCTTTATTTTTTATTTTTGGTGTGGTGCTGAGAATTGAACTCAGAGCCCCGTGCGTGCCAGATGAGCACGCTATCGCTTGAGCCACATCCCCAGCCCCTGAGTTGAAATCTTAATTAAGAATTATATTTTGGTTGGGAAAGAAATGATTGTGTGCATTGCATGTGAATGGGCGATCCGTGTCATTATGTAACAGCATGCTTTATTAGTTCTAGAAGTTGCCACCCAGTGCACAAGGTGGTGACTGCTGTCATTACTGCCCCTATGCACGTTCGGAGGTGGCCTCGGCAGTCCCCACCCGGATTATGGTGTCAGAGATTGGGCCTGGGGGGACCCAGAGAGCAGACCTCTTTCAGAAACAAAAGGCTTCTTCTTGGGTAGCACATCCTAACTGGTTCCACCCTACTTGAGCAGCACGTAGAGAAATGTCAGTTCCAACTTTAGATGAGTGGTAGATCTGTTGGCCCCAAGACTTTTTGTAAATGAAATCGATGCCGATTGAACACTGAACACAGGGTGCAGGTAAAGAGCTTTGAGATGGATTTCCCTGAGCACTTCAAAAAGTAAGGAGGCCGGTGGAGCTCTTCTTAGGATGTTTACAAGCCATCGTGGGCGCACATCCTTTATTGGCCACATAGCATCTGGCAGATCCCTGAAGTTATGAAATGAGCACTCTTGTCCCTCTCAGGAAGGGCTGGTTTGAGCTTGTCATTTCTAAAGCTGAGCTTGGAGGATTGGGCAATTGACTTGGCATAAAGAAGGCTTGCTGAGTCACGTATCAGACTCTCACCTCCTCTGAACTGCTTCTGACCACTACACAGGCCACAGGAGCAAGCAACTATGGTACAGAACCAGTGTCGTGATCCTTATGGAAAGAAAAATTTGCAAGGGATTTGTCTTGTATAGGAAGTTCACAAGTATAGCTATAAAATTTAGACAGATGTATAAGAAATCAAGAAAAAATTGCTGGTAATGTGTAACATTTTAAAACAAAGACTGGCACAGACCGGGCACGGTGGTGCATGCCGGTTACTCTAGTGGATCAGGAGGCTGAGGCAGGAGGATTGCAAGTTAGAGGCCAGCCTCAGCAACTTAGCAAGGCCCTGTCTCAAAATAAAAAGGGATGTGGATGTGGCTCCATGGTTAAGCACCCCTGGATTCAGTCCCCAGTACCAAAAAAGAGAGAGAGACAGACACATTAGCACAGAGAAACAAGGATCTTGAAAAGTGATGCTTGGTTATTCCACTGCACTTGACCCTGTCTGCCATACGGACAAGGCCACAGCCCTCTTGGCCATTTGACATGTGCTGCCTATCTGGTAGTAGGTCACAACACACATTCTAACCACTTGGACTCTACTTGACCAACACGCAGAGAAATGGGCAGTCCTGCCTTGGGTGAATCGTAGGCCTGTTGGCCCTGAGATTGTCTGTGGGTGAAATCCTTGCCGACTGGACACAGGGTGTGAGCACGCAGCTCTGGATCGTGAAGTCACGCAGTGTTCCTTCTCCTCCTGCTCAAACACAGGCACATCACAGCGGGCTGTTACAGAAGCTCCTACAGGAAGGCTCAGCAAATGATTATGATCTCATTGTCATTGGTGGTGGTTCTGGTGGCCTCTCGTGTGCAAAGGTACGAACACAAACAAACAAACAAAAAAAAACAAGGTGCTCTTGGAGGTGATCTTTCCTGGCCATTGACATAAGCATCTCGTCTGCTAATTGTTTTAAACAAAAATATTTAATGTTAACATCACGATCTTAAGCTTTTATTTTATCAGCCATTTTCATTCAGGGAAAAGACCATGTTATCCCAGAAAAACAGACTGTTTTTATTTGGGGGATGAGAGAATTTTTCTTTACTTGATTTTACTTCTTGCACTTTAAATATAGTTGTTGTTGTTACTGTTTTTGTAGGAAGCAGCCATTTTGGGAAAGAAAGTCATGGTCCTGGACTTTGTGGTCCCTTCCCCTCAGGGCACATCCTGGGGTAAGCTGTGTGTTCTCTGATCTTTCCGTGCATCGTTTTATACGTGTGACGCCTCTTAGTCCCACAGGAAGCTCAAGAGCTGAAGTAGTCCCTTCCATAATCGAGGAGGCCAAGTCTCAGGTCATCGGTCATCGGTGGTGACAGTGCAAAGATAGATTGAGGGAAATTTTGCAAATTGAAAAAAATTCCTCCCACTTTAATGTTTACCCAGTGACCACAGTGTGTGATCTGTGTCCTGGTCACCTGAGTTGCCATAAACGTTTTTGTGGGTGTTTCTGCACCAATGTCATGATTGAGTTGAGTGGCCATACAATAAAGTCAGTGGCATTAGGATCCATGGTCATCACAGCTTAGTTAAGTAAGGGACACGATATGGTCCCCGCCCTAGGACTGGGTGCTGTAGGCAGAGTGGTCACCTGCCAGGTTAGTTTTCCTCTCTGTCAAATAGAGCACATAGGCTTTGTGCTGGGTGTTTTCTGTCTATACCGTGTGCTCCTTCCGTCTCTGCCCTGCTCTGTGCCCAGAGGACGGATCAGTTGGTGGCCTGGCCCTCTGGCTTCTGGTCAGGGTTGGCCAGTTTGCTGTAATGAGGGACAGCAGAGCAGAGTGGAGCTGGGGTCCTTATGGCTCTGGCTCCTCCATGCCAGTCACTGGGGCTGCCTTCCTTCTTCCCGGAAGGCCACCTCTGTCAGCTGGGTGACCCTCTGGGTCAGGCACTCACTCGGGCTTCCTGCCCTGCACACGGACTGCTTTCCTGGTTAGGGTGCTGTGCTGTTACTTCTTGCTCTTCCAGCCCACATCTTGTAATAACTTCTTTATGAACATTCTAGAATTTTCTAGAACCCTGATGCTAAAATGCAAAAGTCACTTTTAACATTGAAGCTGGCTCAGAATCTCTCAGCCTACAGTTTCATATAGTGACACAAGGGAGCTTGTTTCTCCTTCTGATATTCTTGTGGTGTCTGTGCAGTTGTGTCTTCCTCTCTTGTTCTCTCTCTCTCTCTCTCTTTTGCCTTCTCTTGTTTCTGTTCAGTTCTGCGTGTTTTAATAACACTGTGCAGGTGTTATTTGAAATCACACACACACACACACTCGCACTCTCACACTCACACCCACACCCACTGTTCCTTTCTTTCCCAGGCCTTGGTGGCACTTGTGTGAATGTTGGCTGTATTCCTAAGAAACTGATGCACCAGGCTGCCCTTCTAGGACAGGCCTTGCGGGACTCAAGGAAATTTGGCTGGGAGTATAACCAACAGGGTGAGTAATGATTTATGAAATGTAGATGGGGAGGGAAAAGATGTAGGTTTCTTAGATATGTGCTATTTTTATAGTTGAGCTTGAAAATCATTTGATAAGCATTTATTAGAAGCCACACGACTGTCATCTCAGCAGCTCAGGAGGCTGAGACAGGAGGATTGCAAGATGGAGGCCAGCCTCAGCAACTTAGTGAGGCCCTGAGCAACTTGGTGAGACCCTGACTCTAAATAAAAATGTTGAAAGGCTGGGGACGGGAATCAGTGTCCCTGGATTCAGTCTCTGGTACCAAAAAAAAAAAAAAAAAAAAATCCCACTGTGTACGAGGCAGATACAGAGACTGTAGAGATGGCTCCACTCTTGTGGTCCTCCTGCCTAGCGAGGGAGCTGTTTCGGCTCTAGCAATTCCAGGCCCTTAGCCAAATGGGAAGATTAATGATCACTGTTTTCAGAATTTGTTCAAGCATGAGGAAATTAGAATAGTATCAGTAGTTGTTTGAGTTTGATCTATTACTCTGATACCATTTTCTGTTTTATCAGTTGTTGTTGTCTTTTGGTTAATGAAAGGTGAGAAACAAATTCATCCATAACCACTTATTGGCTGGGCAGACAGGAGGACACTGGAGTTCCTGCATGGAATTCTGTTGGGTGAGATGGTCCAGGAGATCCGTTGTGTGCACTCGAATTGACTGGGCTGGTGTGCACATTGACTTGAGGGGCAACTGATGCAGCTTTGAGGTCAGGGAGAGTTTAGACGCTCTTCTGGGACAAGGTGACCCTTGATCCACAGAGAAAAGGAACATGAAGGACAGCAGCAGCTATGAAGATGTGCTAAGACACAGCCCAGACAAAACATGGATCAGGAGCAGGTGGAGTAAAGAACAGGCACGTGATGTTGGGAGAAATCAGATTAGAGAGGTCAGCATGTCAGAGGCCCTGAAGTGCTGTCATAAGGAGTTGATTTTACCCCCAGTTAATACAGCCATCGAGGAGTTCATTCAGCAGGAGAGGAGCATGCACTACAGTTTGGATGCTTGATCCCTCTGATGTCACCAAGGCAAAAAAGAAATTGGATAGGGAGGCAAGAAATGACAGAGACCTGAGCAAAGACTGAAGTCTGGCTGGAGTGCAGGGGTGGGTTCAGAGATGTTGAGCCTGTGGGACTGACTACATATGGTGACCAGCTGACTGTGTGCTGTGCTCTCCATCATGGCTGAGTGTCAGAGTATCTGGTGGAGTTTCTAAAAAGATAAAAATGACTTGTCTTTATCCTGAGAGATTCTGATCCAGTTGATGTGGGCATATGCCTACTTTTTTTTTATACTGGAGATTGAACTCAGGGGCACTTAACCCCTGGGCCCCATCCCCAGCCCTTTTTCATATTTTATTTAGAGACAGGGTCTCTGAATTGCTTAGGGTCTCACCAAGTTGCTGAGGCTGGCCTCGAACTCGCAATCCTCCTGCCTCAGCCTCCTCAGCTGCTGGGATGACAGGCGTGAACCACCACACCTGCTCCCTCAATTTTCGTTTTGGAACTCTGCTTCTTGCATGTGCTTTGTAATATAAGATAGGAAGAGAGATGGAAGTTGCCAATTTTCTTCTGTCAACGTTTGATTTTTAAAGCAATAGCTAGTAGTTCTCGCATGGCTGTATGTAATTTACCATTAAGCGTCAAGGTCACTTTGGGCCTTCACCTGGTCGTTTCAGTGAAGCACAACTGGAGCACCCTGACAGAGGCCATTCAGAACCACATCGGCTCTCTCAACTGGAGCTACAGGTTGTCGCTGAGGGAAAAGGGAGTGACCTATGTCAATGCCTACGGGGAATTTGTGGACCATCATAAAATCAAGGTACTTTCTGAATTTCTTGTCCTTCTCTTGGCCTTTCCTTAATCCTGCTCACACTTGCCTTAAACTCACACAGAGGCCTGTTCTTGGCTGTGTTTGTTGATTATGTGTCTTTGCAAATTGAAAGAAATCGCTTTTCCAAGAGCTCTTAATTTAAAATCATCATTTGCCTTTGATTCTATCGACATCTTAACAGAAAGTGTTCAGACCAGAGAGTTCAAAGTTCAAAAGACTAAAGATCAACATTTTAGCAGTGGAATCCTTTCTAAAAGTGAAACCTTACCTAAAAGTCTCTATATGTTATCATAAAAGCATTGGTAAAAGCAATATCATTTAAAATGCAATAATATATATCATACACATATATTAATATAATGTCTCTATATATGACATTATGTGTAACGTGTGTTATTATATTTAATATAGTATGTAACATTATTTTATATTTTTATATTTTTTGCACAAGGAAAACGAGATCATTTTGATGAACACAGAAGTTTTCACTAGAGTTAGGATCAGTAGCCAGGTCTCACCCTCTGCATCCGCTTTATTCCACACTTGGCCTTGATGACACAGTGTGAAGTCAGGTGTTACCTCAGAAGGATCTGGGCCGAGGTGGCTCTTAAAACCTTAACTTGGGGACCTAGTGGGGACCTCAGAGGTAGAACACGTGCCCAGCCTGCTCGAGGCGCAGGATTTCAACCCCAGCACCAGGTTAAAAGGCAAACTTCCATGACTGATCTGAATCGTATCATTCACAGGAAACACTGTAGAAATGCAGCGTCAGTTTTATTTCTCAAATAATAATAATATGCCTGGTGCAGGTGGTTGAACAGCTGTTTAGTCAGGTTTTTTTCTGCTGTGACTAAAAGACCAGATCAGATCAGTTTTAGGGGAGGACAAGTGGATGTGGGGCCTAGGGGTCACAGGTCGCAGTCCACAGACGGCAGCTCTCGGTTTCACTTCACCACTGCACCCCCCAGCCCTGCCGTCCCCCTCCTCTCACTTCTGGCTACTTGCTGTCCCCCAGGCCCCAGCCCTCGCAGGCCTGCGTGCTGTCCTGGTCCTGTGCACGGCTCTCAATCGACCCTCCCTGGGCACCTCATGCCTCCTTTGAAGCCACCCTGGGCTGGTTTCCTCATGGCTTCCCAGCCCCCTGTGCCCTTGATCGTGCCTGTTCTGTGAAGGCGGCTCTCGTCCGCGGTGCCCACCTCGCTGGACCGTGGTTCATCCTGGTGAACCAGGAGCCCTGGTCTGGGTGGCGCCCGTCTTGTCGTGTACTGTACAGTGTGTGCAATAAGTGAAGTTTGCTTTCCTTATTTCCCAAGGCAACCAATAAAAAAGGACAGGAAAGTTATTTTTCTGCTTCAAAGTTTGTCATAGCAACGGGTGAAAGGCCACGGTACTTGGGCATCCAAGGCGATAAAGAATACTGCGTTACGAGGTAAGAGTAAATGGATGGTTTTAAATTGAAAAATTGCCTCATGTCTGTGTTTCCAGCTTGCTCACTCTCTACCTTATTGCACGAAAGATTTGGATTGGTAACAAAAGTACATGCAAGGCAGGAAGCTAAGTCAAGTGATAAGACAGAGAAAATAAGATCAAGTAAACAGTGTCAGGGTAAAACACCCAAAATATGCTGTGCTGCTCCGTGATTGCTGGGAATGGCGGAGGAATTTGGTTGTAAGCTTCAGACAAACAAGTGCAATTAGCGTCAGGGTTTAGTGTGAGAGGGTCAGTGGAAGCTGATGGTCAGGAGCCACACGGCCCCCTCCGCATTTGCAATGGCAGGTTCCTGTGGGTCAGCACCGGAGGTGCTGCAGGCTGCTGTCCATGGCTGCAGACTTGTCTGGGCGGGCTGCCGTAGGAGAGCAGCTGTGGACTGGGGAGTAGGTCAGTGGTCCAGTAACTGTCCAGTCTGCCCAAGGCCCATCCCCAGCAGTACAAGGCAGGTAGGTAGGCAGGTGGGTAGACAGACAGATGGACTGATGGACTACTAGACAGATAGACTGATATAGACTGATAGACTAGGAAGATAGAGTGAGTGATAGATGGATAGACAGATAGATAGACAGATGGACTGATGGACTACTAGACAGATAGACTGATATAGACTGATAGACTAGGAAGATAGATGGATAGACAGATAGATAGACAGATGGACTGATGGACTACTAGACAGACTGATATAGACTGATAGACTAGGAAGATAGAGTGAGTGATAGATGGATAGACAGATAGATAGACAGATGGACTGATAGACTACTAGAGAGAATTTTTTTAAATTTATTTATTTTAATATTTATTTTTTAGTTTTCGGCGGACACAACATCTTTGTTTGTATGTGGTGCTGAGGATTGAACCCGGGCTGCATGCATGCCAGGCAAGCGCGCTACCGCTTGAGCCACATCCCCAGCCCCGTAGACTATTAGGTAGATAGACTGATAGACAGATGGACTGATAGACTACTAGATAGATAGATAAATGGACTGATGCACTACTAGATAGACAGATGGACTGATAGACTACTACATAGATAGACTGATAGATATAGACAGATAGATATAGACTGGTAGATGGATAGACAGATACACAGACAGATGGACTGATAGACTACTAGATAGATGGACTAATAGATAGATAGACAGATGGACTGATAGACTACTAGATAAACTGATAGATATAGACTGTAGACTATGAGAGAGATAGACTGATAGACAGATGGATTGATAGACTACTAGATAGATAGATAGATGGACTGATAGACTGTTAGATAGATATTGACTGATAGAGTATTAGAGAGATTAAACAGACTCTTAGATAGATATAGACTAATAGACTATTAGATAGATAGATTGATAGATGGATAGATAGATACATAGATGAATGGACTGATAGACTACTAAATGGATACACACGATAGATAGATAGATAGATAGATAGATAGATAGATATGGAGGGGGGAGGGAAAAGGAGAGAAACGCATTTCTGTTACACTGTTATTCAGGCGACCACACAGTACACACTGGATGTGTGCACACGTACACGCGCCCCCCACACACCCACTGCCAAAACAACCAACCATTTTCTTTTCGGTGCAGTCTAATATTTCCTATTTTTGTTTTTTGAATCCTTTACTTGTGATCTCATTTGATGTTGAATAAAGCTGAGTGTCCCCCTCCCATCCCCCCACGGGAGGCTCAGACACAGACACCCAGGCTGTTTCCTGTTGTGTCCTTCCATCCAGGTCCCACAATGCGCTTGGGCCAGCCCAGGTCATCATGCACTGAAACTTCAGGACCTTGCTTCACCTTCTGTCTCTTCCCATTTCTGTTTTCAGTGACGACCTGTTCTCTCTGCCTTACTGCCCCGGCAAGACCTTAGTGGTGGGTGCCTCTTACGTCGCCCTGGAGTGCGCAGGCTTTCTTGCGGGCTTTGGCTTAGAAGTGACAGTTATGGTGCGTTCAATCCTTCTTCGCGGCTTTGATCAAGAGATGGCAGAGAAAGTGGGTTCCTACATGGAGAGACATGGCGTTAAGTTCTTGAGGAAATTCGTCCCCGTGAAGGTGAGTCTGCATGGCACTTGGATCCCTTTCTGTTCTCAATCTCGCTTTAACTGTTTAATTTTACCCCTTCTCACTTTATTTCATTAAATAAATTACTCTGCACTTAAATAGTGTTGCGAATACTGAACCCACCCCCCAAAAAACCACAAAACTGGTCTCACTTGTCCTTGCTCTTACACTGGAGAAGGTGTCCTAGATCTTCTCGAAGGCTCTTTCACAGACATCCGTCTCCAGCAGGTCCCATCTTTAATAAGCCCTGCACACCTGCTTGGGTCCCCATTTCCCCTTTTCTCTTTACAGAAAGAGCTTCTCTGCCTGCTGTTTGCAATTTCTTGCCTCCTTTACACACTTAGTTGACTCCCACCTGCTCGGTGAAGCTGCTTGTTGGGAGACCCAGTGGCCACATCTCTGTGCTCACCTTACTGGGCCTCCTGACAGCCTGTGGGGAAGGTGACATTCCTTTTGTGTGACATTCCTCTGGTTTGAAGGGCTCTCCTTCCTGCCTTCTGTGGCTCCACGGTCTGTGGTCTGGTTTTACTTTATGTGGTACTGGGGTTTGAACCCAGGACTTCGCCCAGCGTGGGCCAGCACTCTACCACTCAGCCTGTGGATCCAGCATCCTGTTTTTCAACCCTGGCTTCTCTGCATTTTTTTTTAACCTGGGTGGTCTTCTGGCTGCTTTTAGGTTTTAGTCATTTACATGCTAATGACTCAGATTGGTAGCTCCCAATCCCTGCACTCATTCCTAACAGCTGCCTGCTGGGGGGTCTCCACTTGGATCCCTCCAAAGCATCTGGGATTTAAGAAGACAAAATTAGAGGATCTCTGCCTTTTCCTCCTAGACCCTGCGATCTTCCTGCCCATCTTGGTACTCAGGAAGTGGCCCAGGGTCAGCTCATTCAGCCAACCACGCCTGGGATCCTATCTTCATTTCTTATTCATGCTGCCTCTAATCTCAGCTAGTTCATTGCACCCTCCCACATGGAGCTCACTGACAGAGTTCCTTTCTGTCTCTTTGCTTGGTCCCTGGAGTTCCCCGCCACCCCCCCACCCTTGGATTCACTGGTTAGCTTCTTGTCACTTTCCATGGACTCATGACACCACTGATCCCTGCCAGATTCAGCAGCTGGAGAGAGGCTCACCTGGAAAGCTGAAAGTATGGGCCAAATCCACTGAAGGACCGGAAACCATCGAGGAGGTGTACAACACAGTGAGTATACTTATAGGAGCAATGACTGGTTGAATATGTTCATAAATCACCAGAGGCGAACCAGGGGAAGACGGCACTGTGATTCATGTTTTTTAATTCTTCATAAGAGTGGAACAGGGCTGGGGATAGAGCTCAGTTGGGAGAGTGCTTACCTCGCATGCGCAAGGCCCTGGGTTCAGTCCCCAGCACCACAGAATAAATAAATTAAATAAAGGTATTGTGTCCACCTACAACTAGAAAAGATTTTTTTTTTTAAATGAGTGGAATAAATATGGACCATCATGGGGGCTGCTCACATGAGTTTTCAATGACACACGGACAGTATATGTCATTGTAACAGCACAGAACAAACTCTTTTTAAAAAGATTTTTATTTGTGTATTTATATTTTGTGGTTGCCAGTGGAGAGCATGCCTTTATTTTATTTGTTTATTTTGATGCAGTGCTAAGGACCGAACCCAGTGCCTCACAAATGCTAGGTAGGCACTCTGCCACTGAGCCCCAGCCCCAACCCCAGAACAAAACTCTTGAAGCTCTATACCCAAATGTTCTTGTTGCTAACTCCTGGGGAATTAGATATTGTATATATAATCTTCATTTTCAAATTTTGGCAGTAGACACTGAATGTATTCTATTATTAAAATAATAAAAAAAATTTTTCTTGGAGCTGTGGCTCAGTGGTAGAGCGCTTGCCTAGCACGTGCAAGGTACTGGGTTCGATCCTCAGCACCACATTAAAAATAAACAAATAAAATAAAGATATTGTGTCCAACTACAACTAAAAAAATATTTTTAAAAATTTTTTTCTTAAGAGTAAACAATACAAAATTCTGAAACACTTTGGCTTGCCTATGCTAGTAACTCTTTCAGCTGTACATTTATGTTTTATGAGCTCTTATATACAGAATTTTTTAGCTTAAAAAAGTAAACATAACATAGAAAGGATCAAAAAATACATTGAAAAATGAAAAAATAGAGGCTTTGATTAGGATTACATTGGCTGTATTAGAATACTCCTTCGGGAGTATTCAGTCTAACAGTCATTCATGGACAAGGCATATCGGTCATAGATCTTCTTTAATGACTCCCAACAAAGTTAATAAATTTCTATTAAATTAATTTTATTATTTTATTAACTGTATTTTATTTCTATTAAATTTAATTATTGCTCCTTTGTTATTTTAAACTAGTTCTAGGGAGATCAAGAGAACATCTGTTAGATTTATTCCTACTTACATATTTAAGTGTAGCTGCAAATGGTATTTTTTTAAGATTGTCACTTATTGCTGGTATGTAGAAATGGTGATTTTTGTGTTGAGAGCTCATATTCAGGCATCTTGCTAAACTCTCATTTAATAATTTATCCTTAGGTTATTTTAGGTTTCCTGTGTACGAGTTCATATTATCTGTGAATAAGAGCATATTTAAGTTCCTGTTATCTGCTTTCTACTCTAATACTTGCCCTCCTGCCTAAGCGCTCGAGCGAGGACCCCCGAGGACCCCCCAGTAGGCCTTTATGGGGATCAGCAACAGTCTTGCCTTGTTCTCTGTATTCCGTGTTTCATCACAAAGACGTGATGTTTTCTGTAGGGTTTGACTAGAGCATCCAGTTCAAGACATTCTTTCCTATTTTTTGTTTGCTGTTGGTTTTTTCTGTTCTCTTTCACCTGTCACAGTTTGGATATGAGGTGTCCCCCAAGACGTGCAGGTGGAAGCCTTGGTGGACGCGCCCATTCAGAGATTGGCTGAACAGATTCTTGGGAGATGCTGGGAACTGGAGGTGGGGAAACCCATTGGAGGGAGGGTCTTGGGGGCTGCCCTTTGAGACTCTCTTCGCTCTCTCTCTGCTTCTTGGCTGCCAAGAGGGGGATATGATTTTCCTTTCACTATTGAACTTTTTTATAGTTAGGTGTCAAGGTTTTCAGAGCCCATCAAAGGAGTCGGAGTATGTTTCTTTCTTTCCTGTTTCTGGAAACCTCTGTGTGATATTAGAATGGGTTTTTATGTTTGATGGAGTTCTCTGATGTTGCCATATGAGTCTAGAATTTTCTAGGAGACATATTTCAACACTGATTCTGTTTCTTTCATGATCAAAGAATTTTTTAAAATGCTCCATTTTTCTTTCTTGAGTTTCTCTCAATATGTTATATTTTTCTAGGAATTAGTCCCTTTCATCTAAGTTTCCAAATATGTCAGTATAAAGTTGTTCACGATATCTAATTTTTAAAAGCTATTGATGTTTGAAGTGGGGTGTAATTTCCATGTAAAAATGCACACATCTTAATTGGGCGTGGTGGCACATGCCCATAATCCCAGCAGCTTGGGAGGCTGAGGCAGGAGGATCGCGAGTTCAAAGCCAGCCTCAGCAATGACGAGGTGTTAAGCAACTCAGTGAGACCCTGTCTCTAAATGCAACACAGAATCAGGCTGGGGATGTGGCTCAGTGGTTGAGGGCCCCTGAGTTCAATCCCCAGAATCCCCTCCTCCCCCCGAAAATGCACACATCTTAGGTACACAGGCTAATTGGTTTGGACAGAGGTGGGTGTTCATGCCATCCACACCCCTTCAAAGGCAACAAAACATGACCGTGAGTCCAGAGACCTCCTGTCCCTTCCAGTCCCCAACCCTGGGCAACCACTGTTCTGATTCTGTTACCATAGGCTACCTCTGCCCATTCTCAACTCCCCATAAAGGGAATCAGACACTGTGTACTCTGCTCTTCAGTATATGGTACTCATTCAGGTTGATGTTTTTTAGGATTCTCCATGTGGTGTGCACTCGGTAGTTAGTTCTCTTACTGTATGGCTTGGACGAGTTTCATTCTTTGCCTGTGTTGGGACACCTGTGTTCTTTTCATCTTAGGCTGTTATGATTACAACTACTATGAATATTTCTTGTTTAAAACTTTGTGGGCCAGGCATGGTGGCACATTCCTGTAATCCCAGCGGCTCAGGAGCCTGAGGTAGGAGGATTGCAAGTGGAGGCCAGCCTCAGCAACTTAGCAAGGCCCTAAGCAACTCAGTGAGACCCTGTCTCTGAATAAAATATAAAAAAGGACTGGGGACGGGGCTCAGGGATTAAGCACCCCTGGGTTCAATCCCCAGTATCAAAAGAACAAAAAACAAAAAAACCCTTTTTGTGGCCATATAATAATTTCTCTTGGATAAATATCTAGGAATGGCATGGCTTGATCATAGGATATTTCCATATTTAACTTTATGAATTTTTAAAATTTTTTTCAGTGCAGGGATGAACCCAGGGCTTATGTTGCAATGGAAGCGCTCAGCACTTCCAGCCAGATAGTATCATTTTGTATTTGTATCAGCCACGTGCAGGGCCTGGGGGTGTGATATGCTTACCAATCTCTGATGTCGTCTGGCTTCCATTTTAGCCATTCTGGTGGATGGGTGGTGGAATCTTGCTGTTTTTTTCAAAAATATTTTTATTAGTCAACAACTAATGATGGACCTTCATTTTATTTACTTATATGTGGTGCTGAGAATCAGACCCAGTGCCTCACACATGCTAGGCAGGCGCTCCACCACCAAGCCCCAGCCCCAGCCCTGGCTGTGGCTTTAATTTGCATCTTTGTGATAACTAATCATGTGCAGCAGTCTTTCATGTTGGACATTCATATATCTTCCCTTATGAAGTGTCCACTCAAGTCTTTGGCCATTCGTGTTGGATGACTTGAATTCTTATTCTTATATCTGACGAGCCCTGTAAAGATCTTGAGTATCTATTCCTTCTTCAGATACATGTAGTAGGAGTTTTTTCTTCTCATCTGTGACTTGCCTATTTATTTTTAATAGGGCCTTTTGATGAGCAGTGGTTTTAAAATTTTTATGAAACCCAGTTTCTCTCTTTTTTCTTTTACGGTTAGTGCTTCTGCAGTTCTGAGAAATCTTCTCTTCCCCCAAAGGTCATGAAGCTCTCCCTGTGCTTTGCTTCTGAAGCTTTATAGTTTTCTCTTCTAAAATATAAAACTGTAGCCCTCCTTGAACTAATTTTTATGTATGGCGTGATGGAAGGATTGAGCTGCTTTTTCTTCCATATCTGGTACCATTTGTCCAAAACTCTTCCCTTTCTCTCTTGAATTATCTTGGTGCCTCGGTTGAAGTCATTTGACCATTCAACTGGGGGATCTCTCTGCACTCTTTACTCTGACTCCAGACCGTGTGTCTTGGTGATCCTTTCCCTGGGACCGCATGGGTCAGATTACCGATCCTTTACAGTTACTTTCAGATCAGGTAGAGGAAGAACTCCAATTTTGCTTATGGCCTTTACATTTCCCTATGCTTTGAAAACAGATTTTCCCCAACTTTGAAAATAGTCTGCTTGGATTTTCATTGAGGTTGTGTTTATTTTATAGATCAGGTTGGAAGCACTGACTTGCTTTGTTCTGTGGGTGCTGGGGATGGAACCCAGGGCCTCATGCATGCTAAGCATGTGCTCTGCCACTGAGCCCCCTCCCCGCCCTGGATGAAATGCCATCTTAACAGTGTCTGTTTTTCCAGTGCACACACCTCACGTATCTTTGCATTTGTTTCTCTTCATGATGCTTCATCATTGTGTTCTAGAGGTCTTTCACATGCAAAACTTCTTCCAGAATTTCATGATTTTTAAACTAGTATAAATGGTATTTTTAAAATTTTCATTTTCAATGGGGACTTATTGACCTTGTAGCCACTTAGGATGCATGTCCACAAGTAAAAACAGTTTGTATATTCCTTTCCAATCTGCAAGGTTTTTGCCTGTTTCTTTCCTCGTTGCAGGGGCTAAGAACCTCTAGGCCAGAGTTAACTAGGAGTTATAAGAATTTCCTGTGTGGTTCCCAATCTAGGAGTGAAGCATTCAGTCTTTCGTCATTGCTAGGAGGTGACCTGTAAGTTTTTTTAACACGTGCCTTTCATATTCAATTGAGGAACTTTCTAAAAATTCTTTTTTTTTTTTTCCTAAAAATTCTTCATGTGCTAAGAATTTTGTTTGGATGATGGAGTGTTGAATTTTGTCAAATGATTTTCCTGCAGCTATTAAGATGATCATTGTTTTCTTCTTGATCCTGTTAAGAGGATGAATTATACTGACAGATTTTATATGTCAAATTTGCAGTTTGAGGACAGATTCCCCTTGGTCATGAGAGCCTTTTTATATGTTTCTGTATTCAGTTTGCTAACATTTTGTGAAGGATTTTATATCTATGTTCATGAAGAGTAGGGACTTGGGATTTTCTTTTCTTTTAATGTCCTTATCTGTTTTGGTTTTGATTTTGCAGTCATGGGGGTATAACCCAGGGCTGTACCCCTGAACGGTGTCCCTGGCACTTTTTATCTTTTATTTAGAGTGAGGGTCTCACTGAGTTGCCAAGACTGACCTCCATCATGGTGACATATTAGTATCATTTCTTACTTAAGCATTCTGAAGACTCGAAGCAGAGATGCCACCTGGGTCTGGAGTTAATTTTTTGGACCTTTATAAATTGTAAATTCATTGTTTTATATTAGTTTGCTAGGTCAATGAGTGGCTTGGATCTCAAATGTCCCAGAAAACCTCATGTGTTAAAGGCTTCGTTCCTAGCTTGGCGCTATTAGAAGGTGGTAGAACCTTGAGGTGGTGGAGCCTCGTGGAAGGAAGTTAGGTCACTATGAACATGCCCTTAGAGGGACACTTCCTGTTTCTCTTTTTGCTTCCTGGCCACCATGAGGTAAACAGGCTTCCTTCACGATGTTGTCCCTCAATGATGAAGTGGGCTACCAGAGACCCAGAGTGACAGGCCGAGTGATCATGAAATGAAACCTCTAAAACTGCCAGCCAAAATAAACCTTTCCTCCTGTTAAGTCATCTATCTCCGGTATTTGTCAAGTAATGGAAAGCACAGGCCATAGTACCCCAAATCTACAAACTGGCGTAATCAACATGTATTTATTTTATCACAGTTCCAGAGATGGGAAGTTCAAGGTCAAGTAGTCATGAGATGTGTTTTCTCTTGTGTTTCTCCTTGGCTTGCAGATGGCTGCCTTCTTATTGTGTCCTCTCCTCTGTTTGAGGGTTTTCTGTATCCTAATCTCCTCTTCCTCTAAGGGCATTACTCACACTGGATTAAGATTGTGTTAGTCAGCTTTCCGTTACTGTAACAGGATTCCTGAGATAATTCAACTTAAAAGGGACAAAAGTTTCTTTTGGCTTAATGTTTTGGAAGTTTCACTACATGGTCTCTTGACCCCCTTACCTTTGTGCCTATGACCATGTAGGACATCATGGCAGCTGCATATGGTGGAAGAGGCTGCTCACCGCATGGTGATCAGGGAGCAGCAAGAGTGGAAGAAGAGACCAAAGTCCTACAATTCCCTTGGAGAGCACATCCCCACCTCTCAGAGGCTCTACCACCTCTCAGTGGGGCCAGAGGCTGGGGACCAAGCCTTTAATACAAGGGCCTTTGGGAGACCCTGGTCCAAACCATAGTAAGGACCAACCTGTGTGACCTTATTTTACCTTAATTACTACTTTAGAGGCCCTATCTCCAAATACCGCCACAGTCTAAGGTACTTGGATAAGACTTCAGCATGTGGACACAGTTCACTCATGACCTGGGCTTATCAGATTTCTGTGTGTAAGATTAACAGGTTGTACTTCCGCGAACTCTTTCACCTAAGCCAACACTAGACTGACTGGCAGAGATGGCTCATAATATTTCATTATTGTCCTTTTAATATCTGAAGAACTTTTAGCAATGTGCCCGTTATGATAATTTTTTTTTTCTTCTTCTTCCAAATAAGGTCCTGCTAGCCATTGGCCGTGACTCCTGTACAAGGAAATTAGGCTTGGAGAAGATTGGTGTCAAAATCAATGAGAAGTAAGTACATGGGGTCACGGCCCTGTTACCACACAAAGCAAAGCTGGCTGTAGGTCACCTCTTAGCATTGCTAAGATATGAATTTTTGGAGGGGGTGGTACTGAGGATTGAACTCAGGGGCACTCAACCCCTGAGCCCCCTCCCCAGCCCTATCTTGTATTTTATTTAGAGACAGGGTCTCACTGAGTTGCTTAGGGCCTCACTTTGACTGAGGCTGGCTTTGAACTCATGATCCTCCTGCCTCAGCCTGCTAAGATAAAAACTTTTAATGTTTTAAATTTATCTCACAATATGTACCGCGGCTGCTCTGTACTGATTTCTTCATCAATCAAGTACTCTTTTTTTTTTTTTAAGATGGACACAATATCTTTATCTTGTTTACTTATTTTTGTGTGGTACTGAGGCTCGGACCCAGGGCCTGTCATGTGTGAAGCAAGCGCTCTGCCACTGAGTCCCAGCCCCAGCCCAACCAGTTACTCAGATCGCTGTCTTAAAGAGTTCAGGCACTCAACAACAATTTAAAAATAAATGGAGACGTTCACCTAAAAATTGTGATTTTGAGTGGATTTTTATGTTCTTGGTCAGGGAAGGAGAAGAATTCCAGAGCTCTGAGTCTGCCTGTGGGGGACGTCTGGAGACAGCCACAGTGTCTGAGCTGAGCAGTGCATGGCTTGACCAGAGACATTCTTCTTAGGATTTGAAACCGCTAACCTTATAGATTATTGATAACCCGAGGTGCTTGGGTTCCTAGCTGGAAGACTTTCCTCTGTGTGTTTTTGGAATATTCTTTTTCAGCCCATAACATGGTCAGTCACTATATCTATTTTTTCCTTTCCAAACACTACTAGGAATGGCAAGATCCCAGTGAATGATATGGAACAGACCAACGTGCCCCACGTCTATGCCATCGGCGACGTTTTGGAGGGCAGACCAGAGCTGACTCCTGTAGCCATCCAGGCAGGCAAGCTGCTAGCTCGCAGGCTCTTTGGGGCCTCGTCAGAAAAAGTAAGTTTCCTGCAATCCCAGCGCCTTGGGAGGCTGGAGGCAAAAGGCTCACCCCAAGTTCAAGGCCAGTCTTAGTAACTTGGTAAGACCCTAAACAACTTGTGGAGACCCTGTCTCAACTAAATAAAAAGGGCTAAAGATGTAGCCCAGGGGTAAAATGGCCCAGGATCAAATCCCTAGTTCCCAAAAGAAAAAGGTAAGCTTCTTCCTAATGTCAGTTTCTTATTATCATCCTGTGTGTGTGTGTGTCTGTGTGTCTGTGTGTGTGTGTGTGTGTTTTGCTGGGGATTGAGTCCCAGGCCTCGTGCCTGCCAGGCACCTGCTCTACCATCCAACATCACCCCAGCCCTGAGGTAATATCTTGATCAAAGTTTTGATTTAAAAAATGAGTATGAATAACTGATAACTTGGGCTGGGCTGCGGCTCAGCGGTAGAGCGCTCGCCTAGCACGTGTGAGGCCCAGGGTTCGATCCTCAGCACCACATACAACAATAAATAGATAAAGTAAAGGTATTGTGTCCAACTACAACTAAAAAATAAATAAATAAAGCTATTATGTCCAAAAATAAGTAAATGACCAATAACCTGTGTGCTTGTTTTCCAAGTGAAGGGTTCCTCAGGGATATGACTGGCAGTTGACTTACTATGTAATAATTATCGTAAGCAAGGATTTTCTGAGTTTCCACTATGCACAAGGCGTTTTCTGGGTGATGCACAGATTACTGTGGTTCCAGCCCCCGGGGCCTAGCAGGGGGGTGGAGGTCCTGAGTCAGGCACCGATGACTCATAAGACAGGATGTGGTCAGGTGCCAGGGGCTGAATCGGTTGCATGAACTTGGCCTCAGCGCCTCAGGTTCATCCCAGGTAAAGCCAGTGGTGGGAACCCACCGTCCATCCTGTGATCACGTGTCCCGGGTCGTGTTTGTAGGCTGAGTCATTCACAGAGGAAGCAGGGCCTCTGCTGGGAGGTAGGTGGGCCACTCAGACGAGAGCGGGCAGGTGTGCAGTGCTCTGTGCGCTGGGGACTCGGGGAGCAGAGCCTCACCTGGGCAGATGCCCCCGCGTTAGGAGCGACCAGGGAGGTGTCAGCAGTGCTAAAGGTGCTGTCCCACCCAAAGATCCATCCCAGCCATGGGACACGCACCAACAGCTGGGGACAGGGCAGTGCAGTGGGGATAGATAAGCGAGTACAGTTGGGGATAGACAGGGGAGCACATTGGGAAGGAGACTGGAAAATTAATATGGAGCCAGATCATCACAAACCCTGGAAGCCCCAGTAGCGAGTCGGTGAGGCCTTCCCTGGGCAGTGGGGAGCCCTCAGAGACCTTGTTTCCCCCCCGCCTTTCATTTAGATAGATGCCAAGCCACAGAGAGAACAGCGAGCAGCCACCCATCATAAGCCTGTCCCCCAGGCCACGGTTACTAATTTGCCATGTGGGCTGTCCCCTCCTCCCAGCCAGCCGTGCCTCCTGAGGTCCCTCCTGTCTGCCAGCAGCGCCCACTCTTCTCTCAACCTGATAAGGGCTCTGAAGATGGTTCTGTCCTAACCACAGGACTTCAGAGATGGCCACCCTCCACTGGCCCTCGTGAAGTGTTAGCACTTCTCTCTCTCTCTCTCTCTCTCACACACACACACACACACACACACACACACACGCGCACACACACACACACACACACACACCATCTCCCCTGGATGGTTGGGGACAGTCACTCCAACACTGCGGAGCTGCCTGTTTGCCTGGCCTCTCTGTGGCACGTGCAGTGGTCAATAGAGGTCTCAGCTTCTAGTGCAATAGCACAGTTCAAGGTCATCTGGATAAATGCTCCTGGAGAGCACAGGGGGTAGAAAAAACTGAACATTTTGGAGAACTCTTTTTTTTTATTCTTAAGTTGACAATGGGCCTTTATTTTAGTTTTATTCATTTATTTCCTCGCGGAGCTCAGAATGGAACCCAGTACTTCACATGGGAGATGGGCACTCTTACTGAGCCACAGCCCCAGCCCTGGACAATGACTTTTTAGGGACAACTGACAAGTGCCCACCTCTGCCCCTGCGTCTCCGTTTTCATCCTTCCAAGTCTGGGCTTTGGGAGAGTGAGTCCTATTCATGGTGGCCACCCGTGTGTGGTCTGTGCCCTGAGCCGGGGGCTCATGTTTGTCCTCAAGCAGTGTGACATAGAACGTCTCTGAAGTTGTCGATGTTGTAAGGATCAGTTACTTTTAACTAGACTCACTGATTATCCTTTTATAAATATTCGCACTGATTATCCTTTTATGAATTTTTGCTGAAAAAAGTGTCACCAAGTAGGACTCTAATTGCTTATCTTTCAGTGTGATTATATGAGCGTTCCAACTGCCGTGTTCACACCTCTGGAATATGGCTGCTGTGGACTGTCAGAAGAAAAAGCTATTGAAGTGTATAAAAAAGAGAATCTAGAAGTAAGATTGTGTTTTATTATTTCCTTTTTAAAGAATTTCCTTCCTAATGAACCATTTATCTTCACAGTCACTTTTTATTTTATTTCACAAGTTGCTACAGTGGTTTTATGGTAGGAAATCATATCCCTATTTGGAGGCAAATTAGAATTTAATTTAAACTTTCTAGCAAACTAATAAGAATACAACTGAGGCAAGAAGGGAGCAGAAGGTGTATGTTAGGACATTTGAGTTACAAGTATCAAATTTGCAATTTGAGCAAGCTTGCACAGTGAAGTGCAAGGTCATCTTGAGATCTCTGGGGAGCCAGGCGGCAGTGGTGCAGGCCCGTAATCTTAGCGGCTTGGGAGGCTGAGGCAGGAGGATCACAAGTTCAGTGCCATCCTCAGCAAAAGTGAGGCCCTAAGCAACTCAGTAAGACCCTGTCTCTAAATAAAATACAAGATAGGGCTGGGGATGGGGCTCAGTGGTCAAGTGCCACAGGGTTCAATCTCCACTACCAAAAATAAAAAATTAAAAAATAAGTGAAAAAAATCCCAAACTTAAGCCTGTCATCCCAGCGACTTGGGAGGCTGAGGCAAGAGGACTGCAAGTTGGAGGCCAGCCTCAGTAACTCAGTGAGGCCTTGAGCAACTTAGTGAGACCTTGTCTCAAAACATAAAAAAAAGTGGGGCTGGGGATGTACCTCAGCATCCCTAGCACTAAATAATAATGATGATGATGATGATGATGATGATGATGATGATGATGATGATAATGATGATGATGATGATGATGATGATGATGATCATCATCATCATCATCATCATCATCATCTTTATAGTGTTATTTTAGATTTGCATTTTGTATTTACATGTTTATAAGAATGAGCCATCCTGTTAGGTGAACTTTAAGTTGGGTTGTAGAAGATTGATGACCATAATTATGGATTTAACAGTTTTAAAACTGTTTGCAGTCAGTTAGAAATTAAGGTAGAAAGGCAGACAGTGAGGAGGCGGATGTGGACAGAAAGCCACACCCCGGGTAGAAGGAAGAGTGCATCAGAAACAAGGTGTCCAACTTTGGGGGCTTACTTTTAGGTATTTCCCCTCAGGCCTACTGCAAATCAATTCACCTATTTTATTTACTTAGTTTTTGCATTTTGACAGAAGCCAAAATCTGATCTGATTGTGGGTTTTTTTTTTTTTTTTTTTGGTACCAGGGATTGGACTCAGGGGCCCTCGACCACTGAGCCCCATCCCCAGCCCTATTTGTATTTTATTTAGAGACAGGGGTTTAGCACCTGGCTTTTGCTGAGGGTGGCTTTGAACTCGATCCTCCTGCCTCAGCCTGAGCCACTGGGATGACAGGTACGCGCTGACTCTATTTGTGTTTTTAATTCCTTATGGAAGCATTTGGGAAGCCTCCAACATAGTAATCAGAAAAATGACAAAAGAAAACATCCCTGTTACTAAATAAGGTCTTAACCTAAAGATTGAAATAGTATACCTTCTTCTAGGAGAAACTGATAGACACAGACATGCCCTACGTTTAAGTTACTGATCCTTGTCCCCAAGACACACAGAGAAAGCTAGTCATGCCCAGCAGACGGGGTCCCAGGCTGACCTCGGGCTTCTTCATAACAACATGCTGTGCTAAAGACACGAGTGGTGTCTGTGAACTTTTGAGGGCAAAGTGGAGACTTTAAAGACCCGTCCAGGATGGTGTGTCATCTGTTGAGCTGCTCCAACAGGTTCCCGTGACTTGGTAGCTCATAAACCACAGAGACCTATTTCGTATAGTTCTGGAGGCTGAGGATCCAAGATCAAGGCAGATTTGGTGTCTAAGCGAGGGAGGAGCTTCTTTTGGTTCATAGATGGCTGTCAGTGTGTGCCAGCGGATGGCAGGAGCAAGGTGGCCCTCTGTGGCCTTGTTCATGAGGGCGCTAATCACATTGGTCAGGGCTCCACCCCGAGAGCTCCCAAGGAGGTTGGAATTTCAACATAGGAATTTGGGGAGGACCCAAATGTTAAGGCCATAGTAGATGACTAGCAATAAAATTTGACAAAGAAAAGCAAATAGATGAGGAGCAAGTAACCCAGAGATTTTTAAAAAATCTAGCAGCTGTAGGGGAAGGCAGGAGACCAATCTGAAGATCTCAGAATGGCTGACACCATGCACCTCTGGAGGGGAAACTGGACAGACAGGGTGTGGGGGCCAGTGGACTGTTTGAAAGGCCTTTTAAGAGACTTTGAGACTCCGTGCCTGTCACCATTCTGAAGAGCACTGTTGTATTTACATTCATCCGCTGGTGATTCTAGTTCAGAACACTTTTCTTTGTCACCCAGCATTCATTCTTTGCCTTCAGTGCGAGTGATTCAGAGGTTCTACGCAGGGAGAAGGAAGCCATCCTGAGCAGATGGGCCAGGTGTGTACTTGGTTCTGGTTTTTGGAGGACTCAGCCAGATCCAGAAAACAAAGAGGCTCACCCAGGGCGTGGGCATGAGGACTTAGAGGACAGAAATGTGAAGGAAGTAACCCTTGCTTTTCAAGTATCACAGATTATGTGCTTCATTTCTTTGAATGGCTTGAACTACTTTGTTTCTTCTACTCTTCTAACTTTTGTTTTTGCATATGAACATAAAGATGAAGACAGAGATCTTTATCTTTCCTGGTACGTTGGCTTCGTACTCAGTAAATGTTTGAAAATTGAATTTGGTTCATAGAAAATTGATTTTTTTGGCTAATAGTGAAACAAAATAAAGTCGGCACACTTTGGTTGCAGCTGACACTTCAGGACTTCTGGCCCAAATGCTCTCACCCAGCCGATCATGTTGGGATCATCAAACTTTAACTTTCTGAAGCTGTTAGTCCACCAAGGAGTGGACTAACCTGTGTGCACTAACCTTGCCTGTTTCTGTCTCCCCACCTTTAGGTGTACCACACTCTATTCTGGCCTCTCGAATGGACAATAGCCGGCAGAGACAATAACACTTGTTATGCGAAGATAATCTGCAACAAATTTGACAGTGTACGTAAGGGACTGGGAGCAGAAATGCTGTCATTGGATGGGATTGGATTGGACTGATTGATTTTGTGACCCTGGGGATCCAGCCCAGGGATTTGTGCATGCCTGAGCCAGGACCCCAGCCCTAAATGCTATAATTTTAAAAGGTAGCTTTTCTTCTTAGGGTTTGGATTTTTAGAATATCTTTAAAGATAGCTTTGGGGTCCAGAGTGAGCTCCTTCATGGGGTTTTCCTGTTGACATGGCCGCAGAGGTCCAGCAGTGACCGGTTGTCCCTGAGGTTTGCCCGTCCCCTCTCAGAATACATCAGTGGCGGTTGTCTCTGTCCAGAGCCCTCCTGATGGCTTGATGGCTTAGAACGGGGTGAATGTGAAAATTTGGGTCATCATCTGCCTGGTGCGGGTCTGTGTTTGTGGTGGCCCACACCTGTAATCCCAGTGGCTTGGGAGGCTGAGGCAGGAGGATTGAAGTTGGCTGTGAATCTCGCTTCTGACCTCAGAGGTGTGCTCATCCCGTGCACCCCAGACCTCATGGCGGGCAGACCTCGGTGACAGCCTCGTGTTGGCTACTCCTCGCTTCCTGCTTCATGGAAGAAGCAGGGGACAACTGTTCCCTGGGCTGACAGTCTCCGCTTTTGCAGCAAAATCCGACACCTTCAAATTATCCCAGTGCTGGGCTTTAATTCAGATTTGTGCTGTTGTTGTTTAGCACTATCTCAGCATAATTCCGAAATCTACATCATCCTAATGAACTCCTTCATGCAGTGGGTAAATTGCTTGTTCTAGTAAATTTGAGTGCAAATTAACTCTGGATGCGCATTTACCGGCTCATTTCACAGAATCTTACAGAGGCTCCTTTTCATGGTAATGTTCTCTGCTCGGTTCAACATGAGAGTCCTCCTGTAGGAGAGGCTGTCGATTTGAACTGAACTTGGAGTGAAGAGATTCCTTTTCAGACCATTAACCTCCTGGGATTCTCTTTGTTTGGCTCCTGTATTAAAGGATCGAGTGATAGGATTTCATATTCTTGGACCAAACGCCGGTGAGATTACCCAAGGATTCGCAGCCGCCATGAAGTGTGGGCTCACCAAACAGCTGCTGGATGACACCATCGGAATCCACCCCACATGTGGGGAGGTAGGGAGCAGGAGGGTTATGAATTGACTTTACTTGATGCACTTTGAAAAACCAATATCAACAGTATTATCAAGCCGGGCTCGGGAGGCTGAGGCAGGAGGATCGCAAGTTGGAGGCCAGCCTCAGCAACAGCGAGGCCCTGAGCAACTCAGCGAGACCCTGTCTCTCAATAAAATACAAAATAGGGCTGGGGATGGGCCTCAGGGGTCGAGGGCCCCTAAGTTCAATCCCCAGTACCCCAAAAATATTGTCAGGAAGATTTTTTATCCGTAACTGTTTTGTATATTTTAAAGAATCACGCGATATTCAGAATGTGTTCTTTGAAAGCAGTGATGGCGTCTGACCATCTGTTTGTTGTGCTTCTTTCTGTGGCCAGGTCTTCACAACTCTGGAAATCACAAAGTCATCAGGACTGGACATCACCCAGAAGGGCTGCTGAGGGTAGCCCTGCTGCTGCCGAGTTCTCCTTGTCTGTTGTCATTCCTTTCAATGACAATAATGCTCTGTGCCCAGGACACCCACTCTGTTGCTGGGGGACCAGTACAGGGCTCTGGAGGGCACAGAGATGAGAAGGCGGACAGGGGGACAGGTCAGCAGCAGGGGACTGCGGTTGTCTCGGCTGACGTAAGTGGCAGTTAGGCTGCGTCCTTGACGCCCTGGCTTGGAACCCTCTGGTGAGGTGAGCCGGGGCCGACCCTCTTGTGTCAGACTCGACCTTGCCACCAGCACACCGTGAGTGGCACAGTAACCTAAGCTAACTTTTCCACACTTGGTACTGTTTTTATTCCTGCTTTGTTACTTCTATGAAGAAATTTTTTTTCAATTGTGAAACTGGCTGGGAAAGGCCGTTTTCCTGGGTGTGGGCCTGGGTTGCACCTGCGCGCCTGCGTGGGTGACATCTGGGAGATGCATTGGAGTAGCTGGCTGCAGAGGACTGGGGACATTAGCAGAAAGCTCTGCGCCAGGTCTAAGTGTCAGTCAACTGTCCTTTAAGCGACATTTTAACCTGCTGTCAAAATCCTGAATTGGGCTTCACCTTCCTGGACATTTCCTGGTGTCTGTCACCTGGAAGTGACTCTCCTCTTATTAGTAGGTATCTCTAGACTGGTGAGACAGCTCGTGTCAGAGACAAGTACTTGAATTTCTTCTTGTTGTTGATTTTTAAGAGTGATATTAAAAGACGTTTTCAGTACTGTAAGATGGGAAATCTGTTTTCAGGCTGGTGAAAATGTTTCAGTCATGATCTGTTTAATGTAGACAAGTTCAGAAAAGAAACAGGTGATAGTTAGCGGTTTAATTTGAACTTACATCTGCGACGGAAAGGTCCATGGGGACAGAGGCCCTTAGACAGCCTCTTACACTGCTGCCTAGTTCACCCTCCTGCGGGCCTCTTGCTCCCTGGAGAGGTAGCCCGGGGCTACATCATGACAGAGTTGTGTGGCCACAGTTTCTAGGCATAAGTTTTAAAAGTGAATTGTAAAACCAGCAAGCAAGTCCGGAACGCCACTTGGAGAGGGACATTTTGCGGCCTATGGTAGGCCACAGAGCCTAGGCTTACCAGAAGTCAAAGGTCTGGGGTCATATAGGGATGGGCCAGAGGGTCCCTGCTGTAGAGCTACACTGGGAACCCAGACCTTAAAGTTCATGTCACATGGGGGGAGTGGAGTGTGGGGTGGCCCGAGCTGAATGAATGGGAGATCGAGATGGAAATGCACCTTAAGACCAGGAGTCAGTTCACAGGAAGGAGGGGACTATGGAAAGATCTCGGCTTTGGAGAGTGACCCACGTGGGCATGCCTGCTCCGTGGCTTACGAGATGTGACAGAATGTGCTGGTTGGCTTTTCCTCCTCTTCCTTTGTTGAGTGCAGACAGTGCTGCCCACCTCACAGAGCTACCTGGATGAGGTCCACACTCTGGAGCGCATTGGCGTAGAGTGGCTTGGCTTTAGCGCTGAGGAATAAGGTCCCTGATAAGGAGAGCTACTGTAGACACGCAGCAGTACAGCCAGCAGGTAGGCAGAGAAGGGACTGGTCTCTTGCATACTTTCACAGGCAACCTCCAAGTGGGATCCCCAAGTCCTGGTAATCACATCCCTGTGTGGTCCCCTCCCCCACTTTACCAAGGTAGGTCTGGGTGACCATGAGCCTATGTCACTTCTAAAATTCGATCATAAAAGGACTGCAGATCAACTTTTGGTCCTGCATGGGCGCTTGCTCTCACTTGCTGTGGGAGAAGAGAGCTTTGTGTCATGAAGGCACTCAGGAAGTTCCTGGAGAGGCCCTAGTGGTGAAGAACTGAAGTCCCCAGCCACCACCAAGATTCTGAAGTCTGACATGTCCCTGTGAAGGAGCTCAAGAAGGGACACTGCTGCAGCCAAGATTCCCTGGGCCAGAAGCTTAACGGCATCTCTGTGAGGCACTTGGGGCCAAATCCATCCAGTTTGGGCACTCCCAGTCTCCTGACCCTCAGGAACTGTGAAATAATAAGTGCTCATGATTTAAGCTGCTAATTTTTGGAGTAATTTTTTTACCCAGCAAGAGATGATCAACACATTTAGGAAGGAAAACTAAAATTAGTACTGATGTGATCAGCCAACTCGAGTGTCTTGGGGTCAGTTACCCCTAAACAGACACAATAAAATTCGTGGGGTTACCATTCCGACAGAAGAAGCCTGGAGCTCACACTCAGCTCTGAGTTCACGTCATCGTCGTAAACAGCAGGGAAATGCAAGACACCTTTGGGGTCAGTGGTCCTGAGCGGTGGCTGTGGTAGGTTCTTGCTGAAGTTCCTAAAAGATTACTAAGAAAACCTGATCATCATACAAATGTATGTTATTCAACTAATGAAGGGAGAGCATGACCCCGATATATTGAGTTTCAGTACCATCTTAAATGGGAGATGAAGAAGGGTACCATCCACTCTCCCCCTGGGGAGGCCACACATCTCCAATCTAGGATGAGGTCCGCACTCTAGACTGGGGCCATCCAATCATGGACTGGGACCTCCAAAACCATGAGCCACAGTAAACCTTTTTTCTTTATAAGTTAATTTTCTCAGGCATTTTGGAGTGGTGGTGGAAAGCTGACCGGTAGTGCATCTTATCATTTGTAAATGATACTTCAAAATTAATTCTTCATCAGTGTTCAAAATACTTGTTGAACAATTACTAGACGACAGGTTCTCTTTGGGTAAGAAGAATGTGCATAGCCAGAGGAACAGAGGCTCAGAAAAGACTGAACGAGGGCAGATAAGAATCCAGGTAGAGGAGCAGGTTGGAGTAGGGGGTGTCATCTCCTATCACAGATGCCTAAGTGTCCGTGCCTTAGAATTTGCCCATTAGTAGATGGATCTTATTAACTCTCCCAATTAATCTATAGTGTGTCCCATTAACACTGACAGACTACTGGGGTGTCGTCTTTGGTCTCTGTGTGATCCTGGGCTATGTAAGTACCTTCTAGAAATGCATGTGTGAGAACTAGCTTTGGGCATGATGAGCAGCGCTATTGGTGTTATTTGAACCCCCCACTGTGGCTCCTCCCAGCTGTGTCAGGTCTACACCCCAGGCCACCCAGATTTCTTTCCCTCAAACTCTAAAACAGTGTGTGATTATTGCCATTTGGAAAGCAATGAGCTGAGTTTTGCTTCTCTTTTGGCAGGATCCTTATCAAATGAATGGGGGGAATTTTAAATTTAGCCCAGCTTTCTCAGGAAGAAATCTCTACGCCGGGGGGTAAATGCAGGATGGCAGTTCTGCACTTGTTGGCCAGGTGATGTCAATCTCTGGGCGAGATCGCTGCTGGGCATGGGGGCTGCTGTGCCTTAAGTGGGGTGTAGTAAGTAGGATCAGCAGCATCATGCGTGGCAGACCTGCTGGGACCCTATTGCCCCAAATCGCCCTCTTAGCACACAAGCGTTTCTGCAGTCTGTTTCCTCTGTGGGATGTTAATGACCATAGGTTATTGAGTCAGCCCTTCCCCGGAGGCTGCCTGATTTACTAGGTCAGAAGGCTTTTCTGCACTGCTTACCTGGTCTCTATCACTTTCTAAAGCAACCCCCACCACCAGAGCCGAGATGATGAAGTGGTCCACAGAGGGCTTCCGTAACTTTTGCTGGGGGTCTGCTAGTTCATTTAATATCATCAACAGCCTTAGCTAGTTCCGGGAACTAGCAAAGCTAAGTGAACTTTGTTAAAATGAATGTTCTTAAGTCACTTTCTTGGGGATCATAGGGGACTGGGGATGGAACTCAGGGGCCCTTGACCCCTGAGCCCCATCCCCAGTCCTATTTTGCATTTTATTTAGAGACAGGGTCTGAGTTGCTTAGCGCCTTGCTTTGGCTGAGGCTGGCGTCCAACTTGTGATCCTCCTGCCTCAGCCTCCGGAGTTGCTGGGATGACAGACATGTGCTATTTGTATTTGTTCAGCCTATAATGGGACACGTGGTGACTTCAGACCCTGCCCCATGCCACATAGGGCGTTACCTAGTTTCTATGCCCTCGTAGCTTTACAATCAAGTGGAACTAGCAGATACAAATAGATAGCTTTAGAAATTATTTCTGCCTTGCAGAGGAAGGAGAATAAACACTGAATTCTATAATAAGCCAGAGTTATACTCTGTTCATAAATTTGTTTAATTATCTCATGATCACTTGAAAATACCGATGAGGAACCTGTGGAGCCCTGTTGATCCAAAGTTCATTCATTTTTTGGTGCATTAAGATAGCAGGAAAGAATGTTAATAAATAATAGCCAGGGGGCTGGGGCTGGGGCTCAGAGCACTTGCCTAGCATGTGTGAGGCCCTGGGTTCGATCCTCAGCGCCACATCAAAATAAATAAAAAATAAAGGTACATCAACAACGAAAAAATATCTTGAATAAATAAATAATGGCTAGGAATCCATTTATATTTAGTGTGATCAGGGAATTTTACTGTTTCGTGGGGGAAGTGGGCACTAAATTGCTAAATTCTCATTACAATTACTGTAAAGAGTTAAGTTTGAAAGATGTATGCATTTAAAGGCGGAGACTGCTCTTCAGTTGGTGCATCTTCTGTTAGAAGCATTTGCATCTCAGGGTGATCAGAGATCAACTGTGGATTTTAAATCGGTTCCAATAAAGCCCCGAGCTGTGACTTCTCCTCCTTCAATTCTGGTCATGATCATCCACATGCAGACTCAGGTGATCCACAGCTCAGTGGGAAGATCAGGCTTGCCCCACGCCCTGAGTCATTTCCTGCTGCCGGTTGGGCCTTCCCCACCTTGGGCTGCACCCCTGCTCACTGCCTGGCCCTTCTCCCTGGGGAGGCCACACATCTCTTCCCACTAACTTTCAGGACCCATGTGGACCTGTGCAGATTCCCGGGAAGTCAAGGACTTGTCTGTTTATGCGTTGGGTACAAAGATCCAGCAAACTCAACTTGGTGACCTTGGTTTTTGTCCGAAGCTGTATAGGAAGTTCAGTTTGACCAGATTCCTTCCTTGCTGCAGATCTTAGGAACGCCAGCATGCAGCTTTTTCTTCTTACGAAATTGACAACTATCACCTCTTCACTTAAAGAAAACCAAAGGGCAAACCCAAAGGGCCAGCATCACTACTTTTGCACTTTGGGATCATGAGGTAAGTAAAGGTCACTTGAACACAAGCACGGCGTTACCATGCCAACAGATCCAAGTGACTAACGGGAAGGTAGTGTCTACACTGTGGATACGCTGGGTAAAGGTCTGATTTGCATCCCAGGTGAAAGGAAGCAGGGTGATGTGAGATCCCATCACATGCTCAGAATGGCCTGCAATTTAAAACTTAGGGTTGTTCTGGAATCTTCCATGTAATATTTTCAGATTGCATTTGACTACTGGTAACTGAAACCTCGACAAGTGAAATCTTGGATAAGGGGCGGACTCCTGTGGATGCTTTCCTCTGTATTCATCCTGTGTGGGCCTTACTGAGCTGGTTGGATCTGTGAGTTAATATCCAACATCAGTTTTGGAAAATTCTCAGCCATCATCTCCACAAATATTTTTTCTATCCATCCATACTTTCTTTTTTTCTAGAATCCCGATTACAGGTATATTAGGCTTCTTACTGTCCTGTGTGTCTGTCTCCTAGGTTCTTCCTGTTTGCATTTGAGTTTGGATCTGACTTGCTTTGGAGTCCCTGGTTCTGTCCTGTCTTTGATCTCTCTGCTCAAATTCCCCATCTGTTCTCACATACCATCCACCTTTTCCTTTAGACCATTGAACATATTTATCATCATTTTAAAGATCCTATTTCCAACACCTAGGCCGTCCTGTCTTGCTTTCATTGAGTTTGATGTCTTGGTCATGGGTTATATTTTCTTGTTTCTCTGCACTTCTCCTAAATTTGTATGTCAGACCATGAACTCCAACAGAGCAGTAGGGGTCTGGGGATGTGGCTTGGTGGTAGGAGGGTGTGCCTATCACTCGGCTGGGCCCTAGGTCCAATCCCTAGGACAGTAGAGGCTTGTTTTACTTAGGTTTTTCATTACTGTGACCGAAAGACCTGACAAGAACAATTTTAGAGGAGGAAAAGTGCTCTGGTGAGATCAAGGTTCTCCTGACCCGATCACTCCACCTCCAAACCTCCTGGTATTGTCTCCTACATGAACTGTTAGTCCCTTAACAAGGCTGAAGGGAGCTCTTACCCTCAGCCGAGTGCTCATCTTTTCCTGTGGCCCTGGGGGTGGCTCAGTCCGTCCAAACGTCCTCCAGCTGGGCTGGGCCTCCTCTCAGCTCTGGTGACGTCCATCCCACTGACCTCCCGTATTTTGGTGGTTCACTCCAGCAGCTTCCTGGTCCTTCACACCCTGCCCCTGTCTCCTGAGCCACCAGGGACCTTCCGCTGCCTCACGGGCTGCCTTTCAGCTGTGGGAGTTGGTGACATTCTCTATGACCTGCAGTCCTGCCTCTGCGCCTGACGCCCTGGGAGCCCCTTTTTACCCTGTGACATGGCCACAGCCTTCATGGGCCATTGCAGGGCATTGGGTGAAGGCCTGGGGTGCCTTGGAGGGACATCTGTCTGTCCTGCCCTGGGACTTTGGCCTGGCACCAGTTCTGATGCCCCCCTGCTCTGCAGGTGGGGGTCCTGAGGCCCCCCAGCTGGCGTGTGGCCCGTGTGGCAGGTTCCTCCTTTCCCCACCCGCGCTCCTCCGCCTCCTGCCACTTGTCCTGCAGGAAGCAGCCTTGGGTCTCTCCTAGAGGGCCAATCACTCAGAACTTTCTGGAATGTATTTTAGTCGGGTTTGTCTGGTCGACATGCTTAGTTCTCAGGCAGCTTGCAAACGATCATTCTGTAGCTTACGCAGATTCTCCGGGTCGTCAGGGTAGGACTGGTGGTTTTGTGTGGCTGCCTCCATTCAACAAAGACTTACTTGCCAGAGTACCTGGTTCACCTGAGCTGCTCCTTAGTGCCAGATTTGGTGGCAGAGCCTCAGCTCTGTGCTGTGTGCGTGGTACCCACCTCACCTCTCTGAGAACCACCTCCCCTCTGAGGAG